GGGGGGGCTCGTGTGTCGCGTGTGCTATCCTCTGGCAGTATGCGAATGCGGTTATGTATTCGACACGATTGGTTTGCAAGGGTAGACGGGTAGTCAAAGTCGACAAAATGTCCGAGTTGGGGATGTAGGAGGACAAGAGTCGTCGGGTTATCGAGAACGATAAGGAAAAAAAGTTATGAGGGGCGAACTCTGGGTGCGGGGGTCAGACGATTTGCATTGATTGGTCGGAACTGCCTACCTACTTCCACCAATACTCCGTATGATACAACCACGTCTTGTCATCATAAACTCAGCAGCAAAACAGGATCCCATTATGCATTTACATTATTGTACCTATTCACAGTGGTTGAGAAATTGAAATTGACAACAAAAAAGAAGCAAGACGTCGCTGCGAATGATCAAATTGACAGATGAGATGGTGCTCTGTGCGCATGGAAATCAACAAGCCCCCCCTTCACCCAAGTTTCAAGCAAGTACGAATGAACGAAACGCGAGGCAGTGCAGGATGAGGTGTCTCGTTCCAATAGATGCCAACGTTAGCATAGTATAGAGGACCAAGATGGAACATCAGTTCAAGTGTTCCTGTGCCTTCCACCCGGTGTATTCTATAGCGAAGCTCGCATCGGTCAGGAAGAAGCCGTCGTTGCCTTATGACTGAGAGGCTAGGTAGTTAGCAGCCTATAAAACAGTTAGTCTTCTACTCTGTCAGGCAGATCAAGGTCAGGAATCACGCACTCTCTCCAGATTATAGTCGTACTTCTCCAACGCGCTCAGGGACTCGCTACGCGAGTACCCCATGCTTGTGAGATTCTTGAGTATGGGATCGTCATGCTCGCTTTCCACCGTTGCGGTACGGTCTAGAGCGGGCCGATTTGCAGCAGCAGCAGCAGCAGCAGGAGCGGCGGCGGCGGCGGCGGGATGCTCATCTGCGGGAGCTGCGGCGGTCGTGCCGGGCTCGTCTAGGCTGGCAAAGATGGCATCCCAATCTTGAGCATCAGGCGGAGTGGGAGCCTTCCCGCCGGCGCCAGCAGCGGGGCCAGCAGCTGCGCCGTTCTGCGCCGAGGGAGCCGTGACACTTGCCGTGGACGCACCCAGGTTTCCAAAATCGAAGCCGCTGTCGGTTCCAAACGCGCCGCTCGTGCTCGTCAGGCCAGTGTCCGTCTTGTGGATCCGGCTGGGTGGGGGAGACGAATCGAAGACGGGGTTGAAGTCATCCAAGCCGGACCGCGAGATGTTGGCGAAGTCGTCATCCGCAGAGCCTTCCTTGGCATCTTCAAGGCCCTCAAAGTCGTCATCCAGATCATCGAACGGCGCCTTGGTGGTTTCTGGCTTCTTGGCGGCAGGAGCGTCACTCGCTGCACCGAATGGGTCATGCACGTCCGGATGACTAGCCGGGGCGGTGCTAGCAGCAGTTACTGCTGGAGGAGCAACGGGCTTGTCACTAGATTTTATTGTTAATATCATGAACTATATCGGCTTGAGGGAAAGGGTCGGGAGGCTCTCACCTGGTAGCGGCAGTCTGAGCCCCTGGCCCTTCCGCACTTGGGGCAGGAGTCTCGGCTTCATCGGCAACAGTAGCCTTGGTCAGAGTCGGCGATTCTGCCTTCTTCTCCGCACCCTTTGGCGACGCCGGGGCAAAATCGTCATCGAATCCTCCCTTGTCAGAATCAGAGTCAGACTCGTCATCGCGCTCTAGTTCGGAAATAGGCGGGAATTCAGTATTGAAGGCCGCAAATGGGGGGGCGGCAGGGGCGGCATCCTTGCTGGAGGATGGCTCCTCCGGCTTGCCCCTCGAGCTCTTGAAACTGGCGAATGCCGATTCAAAATCTTGCTTCGCTTTGGCCTGGTCAGCGACAGCAAAAGGATCGCCAACGCTATCAGTGTGAGCGTGGCCAAAGGGGGAAGCCTTAGGCTCGTCCTTGGTCACTGCACTGGCCAACTGAGTCTCTTCGGCGCCGGACGGCTTGGTAGTAGGCTCGTTTGTGGCCGACAGCGATGCGCTCGCGGCGCTCTGCCCGGTCGCGGTTGGCTCCAGCGGCAGTGGGGTATTCTCAATGGGGCCGACCCGGCTACCGGGCGGCGAGACTTGACGAGATGAGGTGAGAGATTCGGATGTATCGGCAAAAGGCAGGAAGCTGGAGCTCATCTGCCGAGAGGCCGGCGGGGGTGGGGGCTGCTCGGCATGCAGAGTAGCTTGACGGCTCACAGTCGGGGTGCCCCCAGTCGCTGGTGTTGCGAAAGAGCCAGCGCTGGCGGTGGATGCTCCAGTGTGCTGTGGCTTAAACGACGCAACAGGCGAGGTACTGCCTTGGCTGGCAGCGGGTGGTGAGGGGCCAAACACATCGTCAAAAGACTTGTCATTGAATGCCTTGGCGGGAGGAGAGGCGAAGGCGCCCATGATATCGGTGCTGCCAGTCCGGCGGAAGAAGGGGTTGTTCCCACTGCTGGCGGACAACGCAGGGCTAGTCACCGGCGCGGGAGTGTTGCTGGACGAACCAGCACTGACCTGGCGCGAGAGCTCTTCGTTGCTCTTGGTCAGGTCCTCAGCCTCTTGCTTTAGTCTGTCGCGTTCGGCCTCATTGGTCGAGAGTTGCTTCTTGTTGATGGCCACAAGACCTTTCTGCTGACGGGCTTCAGACTTGAGCTTCTCGATCTGGGGTTTGATCTGTGCGATCTCCGCATTGACAGTCCTGATACGCTCTTTGAGATTCGCATTCTCTTGTTGGTCGGCCTGAAGAGCTGCCGAGACCTGGGCGTGCTGGGTCTGGAGGTCCTGGTAAGTCCCATCCAGCGTCATCATCTCAGCCTGGATCTTTCTCGTTTCGCTCCGCGCTGTGTTGAGCTGCTCCTCGAGAACGCGGACATCCTTCGCCTCCTTCTCATACAAAGCCCGGAGCTGCGAAAGGCGCTGCTCGAAGTTCTTCTTCTGTTGTGTTGTCTGATTCAACTCATTCTGGGTCGAGGCGCGCTGTGTCTGGACCTCTTGCATATGTTTAGATAAGGAGCCGATCTGGTTTGACAGATTCGCCAGCTCAGTGGAATCGTTATTGAGGCTCTTGCTGGCATCTCCACCATCGTCTCCCAGCAGGTCATCCTGACCAAACGCTGATTGAGGCGCCGGCTTGGATGCAGCAGGTGCAGAGCCGGTGGAGTCCCCTGTGGCATGCGATGTGAGGGTCCGGCCAAAAGAGGACGAGGGAACGAAGGGTTTAAAGGTCGACGTGGATGGGGACGCCTTGGCAGGTGAGCTTGGGCCACCGGCGAAGGGATCTACGGCGCCGGTCGATCCGCCAGTGGCCATGGCAGTTTGCGCAGGTAGTGTTGGAGACAAGGGCGCGGAGTCGAGCCCAAAGAGGTCGTCCAAGGCGGATTTGGGCTGAGGTGCCGGCACGGGTGGTGGCTGTGCGGGTGGCTCAAACGCGGAAGCTGTGGCCGTAGGGGGCCGCACTTGACTCCGCATGGTCGGGGGGATCAAATTCGGGGGCAGTGAAGCAGGCAGCGGCACGGGACCGTCGCGCTTGTTTCTCTGCTGGCGAATGAGGTACATGGCGACGGCGAACGTGTCTCGGTTCAGCCGGCCTTCGGACTTGAAATCGGCGAGATCCCAAATCTGGGCTAACGCGTCCTCGGGGAGTCCTGACTGGCTCAGGAACGGCACAGCTTCCTCCCCAGAGATGAACCCCTTTTTGGACTTGTCAAGCTCTTCGAAGAGCTGGTCACATCGTGCCTTCTCGGCCGGTGTGACCAGCCATTCTCCCGTGGACTGAGGCCCAAGTGGGGGCCGGCCAAGCGGACTTCCGGTTCGCATCTGCGCCTGCCCGCTCAGCTGCCTGGGGATAGCTGGTACTGGAGGTCCGGTATGGGTCGGGCTTTGCTGCCTTGGTCCCCCGGGAGGGGCCCTTCTTGTCGCCGCCTCATACAACGCGGCGGGAAGAATGTTGGGGAGGGCGCGCAGAGTACCGGTCTTCATAGAAGTCAACAAATGCATGGCGATGACAAACTCGGTCATGACAAGACCCCCACGCTGCTCCGTATCTGCAAGCTGCCAGATGCGTCCCAGAATCTCGTTGGGCAGCCCTGACTTCTCAAAGATTGACTTGGCCTGATCTCCTGGAAGCAGGTTACCCGGGCCGAGAGTCTGTCGCTCAAACAGCCCGTTGTATTGGGCCACCTTTTCCGGAGTCAAGGGCGGGATGCGAATCAACCCGCCAGTGCCTTGCGCCTGTATTGGGCCAGGGGCTCCGGACCCAGTTGTCTGCGCCGATAATGGCGCAGGTGCCGGAGTGAAGCCATCGAATCGTGGTATCGGAGCCGGCTGTAGTGCCAGCTCTGGGGTGGGTTCGCGACCGCCTTGCGCATGGCCGATGAGTCGCAGTACAATTCCAAAGCCCGCAGGGGTGAGGAATCCCCGGTTCTCTTTGTCCGCGATTTGCCAGATCTATGGATAGACACACGATGCCGCGTCAGCACTACCACCAGGTAAAACCTGCGAAGATAGCTGCTTTCTTACCTCGCCTAGAATCCTCGAGTCGAGCCTCGTCTTATCGAAGAACTTGACGGCAATTTCGCCAGTCACCACGCCAACATTGTCCGTGTCAGCTTGGCGGAACAGCTGGCCGTACACGCGCTTCTCGTCGGGGGTCAGGTTCAGGTTCGGCGCGCCTAAGAAACACCACGCGCACTAGTTAGCACACTTCTATAGAATATGATAATGTCCCTGTTTGGTCTGGATGAGAAGGGGATGACCGTACCGGAATCGGCGGCGCTCTCGGAAGCCATGGTCGTCAGTCGAAGCTAGGCAAGCTCGGCAACGGCAGCTCCCAAGCTGGCTGAAGCTGTCTCCGTCGCGGTGCAGGGCGCAGGGTGCGGTGCTTGATGTGCGTCAAGATCGTCGCCAAAGAGGGGAGTAGATACCGCTCCGACGACAAGTGCCGAAGGTTGTGAATGGACGGTGGCAGGGAGGACAATATGTCTGTAGCGAAGTAGTAGATATGCCGTCGCCGTCGCTACCTCCACAAAATGGGGGATGGCTGGGTTTGGAACGACGAACCCCTGTAGTTAGCCTCTTTTGGGCTTAACCATAATTTGGGGGAGTTTTCGCCCGCCAAGAAAATCCGAGCTTCCGGCCGAGCAACAGTATCAATCATGATCAATTATTACATGCTGTGATACTGACATCGAATTCATCTGTGCTATGAGTTAGAAATTTGTCGACTTCTTTCTCAAACCAGGCCAGAAATCAATGTACAAACTACGCGCAGAAAAGTCCCCCGAAAAGTCAGTCCCACCACCCGGCTCAAACTGACTGGCTTCAAACTTGGAGGCAACATTGAAGCTTGAGTTCGAAATTATCATTCGCACGAATCCCGCAGCATTGGCCAATACAAATGGCTACAGGTGAGGTCTGGAACGGTATGCATACTGCCAAGCTCAGAAAGCTCTATTAAGGGGTGCTTAATCGAATACAACAAGTGACATCGTTGCAATTTGGTATTGTCATGAATTAAAAGTCGACTATCTTCATCCCGCCGCCGTCGAAAAGGGAATGTGTCCCGCGCTGTCTGTCTCTAAGATGATGCAAGCTATCCGACTTCGCCAAGAGAACATTGAAATCTTGACCCGAGCCTATGGACAGGATCCCTCAAAGTGACTGGTGAAATGTGCCAACACAAGCACGTACAAGACTGCCGCTTCGCATAGGAATTGGAGAACACGCATCGTTGGTTCAGAGTTCACCCTAGTACTCAGCCTCGAGGCCATCGTCGCCCTCCAGCGAGTCGGTAGCGACCTCCTCGTAATCGCGCTCCAAAGCAGCAAGATCCTCGCGAGCCTCCGAGAACTCGCCCTCCTCCATACCCTCGCCGACGTACCAGTGGACGAAGGCACGCTTCGAGTACATGAGATCGAACTTGGAGGAAAGGGCGGACCAGGCCTCGGCAATGGCGGTGGTGTTGGAGAGCATGCACCTGTATCAAAATTAGAGAACTGCTGCCTTATGCGGGCAAGGGACACAATCAAGGAGGAAACATACACTGCGCGGTTGACCTTGGCCAGGTCTCCGTTGGGAACGTTCTCGGGGGGCTGGAAGCAGATACCCAGCTTGAAGCCAGTAGGGCACCAGTCAACGAACTGAATGGTGCGCTTGGTCTTGAGGGTTGCAACAGCAGCATGGGCGTCCTTGGGGACGACGTCGCCACGGTACAGCAAGCAGGTGGCCATGTACTTTCCGTGTCGGGGGTCACACTTGACCATCTGGTTGTTAGGCTCGAAGCAGGACATGGTGATCTCCTGGACAGAGTTGACCTCGTGCGCAGCCTTGGCTGCCGAGATGACCGGCGAGTAGGCGACGAGAGGGAAGTGGATGCGAGGGTAGGGAACCAGGTTCGTCTGGAACTCGTTCAGATCGACGTTGAGAGATCCATCGAATCGCAGGGAGGCGGTGATGGAGGAGACAACTAAGCACACCAAAGTCAGCAAAATGCCCGTCCAGTGTCAAGATCCATCAGAAGTAGACTCACCCTGGGCAATCAGGCGGTTCAGGTTCTCGTAGTTGGGACGCTCGAGGCCAAGGTTGCGGCGGCAGATGTCATAAATGGCATCGTTGTCGACCATGAAAGAGCAGTCGGCGTGCTCAAGGGTGGTGTGGGTCGTCAGGATCGAGTTGTAAGGCTCGACGACGGAGGTCGCGGTCTGAGGGGCCGGGTAGATGCAGAACTCGAGCTTGCTCTTCTTGCCGTAGTCGACGGAAAGGCGCTCCATCAGGAGAGCACCAAAACCGGAACCGGTACCGCCACCAAAGGAGTGGAAGACGAGGAAGCCCTGCAGGCCGGCACAGCTGTCGGCGACACGGCGAACCTTGTCCAGGACCTGGTCAATCAGCTCCTTACCGACTGTGTAGTGGCCACGAGCATAGTTGTTGGATGCATCCTCCTTGCCAGTGATCATCTGCTCGGGGTGGAAAAGGCTCCGGTAGGCTCCGGTGCGGACCTCGTCGACAACGTTGGGCTCGAGATCGCAGTAGATGGTTCGCGGGACGTACTTGCCGTTGCCTGCCAGAATCAAGGACGGTCAGTTTTGTGTGTTCCCAGTAGTAGCCAAGGCAGAGGCGGTTGTTCAAGACGCACCAGTCTCGGTGAAGAAAGTGCTGAAGCCGTGGTCGGGCTCGGCGGCCTTGCGCTCCTCGGTAAGGTAACCATCGGGCTAGAGTCGAGAGGAAAACGCGTGAGTAAAGACTTCATTTCTGGCAAGAGGAAAGAATATTGTCCTGGATTTGCTTACCTGGATGCCATGCTCGAGGCAATACAGCTACAAAATTGGTTTGTCAGCTTCGTACAGAGCATTTGCCACCATCGTCTCCCCGAGGACGGCAAGGTGGCAGAGCTGATTGTGTCGAGTGGTAGAATGGCTCACCTCCCAGCAGGAGTTGGCAATCTGGCAACCGGCCTGACCGACTGTGGTGGTGAGAAAGTCAGCATATGATGTTGCAGAAGGGCAGGGTGGCAGAGGCAGGTTGGCAGCAAAGTCATGATGCGGTGAGAGACGCGACTGGGGGGCGAAGACCGAGGGACAGGGTACTAACCGTTGATGCTGATGATCTCACGCATGGTGGGCGTCTAGCAAAAGGCTGTGATGTTTTTGGCTGATGTGTTTTGTAGTGATACCTGAAGGGACCAAAGACAGCCTTCTTTTTGGGAGCAACCAAGAACCGGAAAGACGGGATTTGCGATCAAGGGTTGAAGTTGTGAGAAAATTGGCTGAGGCCTGAAGATGCAGGTGTAGTGGGGGGAAATTGGCGAGCAAGGGGGGGGTTGTTCAAAAAGGGTCCCTGGCCTGTCTCTCTGGCGGTGCACGTACCACCAAGTCGCCTCTTTTTTGGCCGTCGACCAAGCTCTTTTGTTGACTTTTGAGTGGTTGCCCGAAGCAGGAAGGCGCGTCGCAATTTGGCGTGTTTACTTTTCACTAATCAGCACAAGAAGAAGGGGCCCCATCACTCCTGCGCTGCAATATGAAGTCACTCCAATCAATTTATTGAGCTAAGCAGTAAGGCTGGACACGCGCCCTGGAGCGTCGCTGTCAGTCTGCAATTAAAGTGAAGCCTGCATTGCAGCCGTCACCTTCTTCGTATCCCAGGACCTGGTGCTAACGAGATTCCTTGTGGCGAACACCAAGAAATACACTTTAGTCAGGTGGCAGTCCCAGACGGGACCATCTGGATCATTTTGCTTGACTCGCCAATCAATGTCACCATTGGCCTATCAGAAGAAGACCTCAAATACGGCAGCTCGTACGTCAGGACTCGGGAGGAAAGGTACTCTCCGGCAGGAGAGTTCATTCAGCTCTACAAAGTACAAATACCTACGCACTTGTGAGATTTCACCTCGCTTATTACCCCGGCATGCCATTGTTCCCATGTCAGGCCCAAGTGAAGAGCCCCATCTCAATTTCAGGGCCTGCAATTACTACCCGCCGGTACCGCCTTGGGGCGTAGTCTGGGGACCTTGGGACCAGAAAACAAGTGCAACAACAGGCAGAAGATCACGGGTATGGACTGGTAGGTTCCTGGTACGAAGTAGGAGGAATCGATGCAGTTCGTAACAATACCTACCTTAGGTACCTACAATTCCATTGTGTGATGCATTCCTAAAAGCTCTGTACCCGAGTTGGGGTCGCAGGCAGTGTTACTACGCGCAAGCCACAACCAGCCAAGCCACGTGGCGCACAGTACCAGGCGATGGAGTGTGTGTGCTCATCCTCTTGTCTGCGTCAGGGCGCTGGCCTCAGGCGTCGCGATGTCAGAGTGAGACTGCTGACCATCATCATCAAATCCATGATATTGAAAAGCGGAGAATTCATCCGATGCTTGTCTTACACAGCAGAGTAGAGAACCTGCGCGGAAACACCAAGTCAAGACCGTGATTCAGCTTCGCCATTGCCCCGCTCACAATGGCCTGAAAGCATAATCTGAGAGCAACATCGTCGACTCCATCATTGCGCGGGACTTGCGGATAGCGGGATGCTATAGTATCGCCTTACGTATAATTCGGATTGCCCCAGACAGCTCGCCGACATGGAAGGCACACCGGGCACGGGTCGCCCATCAGCAGACATGGAGTCTCAGGATGGACAGTCCAGAGATGTATCGACCTATCCCTCAAACAAAATACCACAGATACTTCCACATGAAAGAGTATTTCCCATTCAGATCGGGTCAGAACTGTTCAAACTCTCTGGCGCCTCGATATCTTCGGATGGTATGTGCGATCGTTGCCTTGAGCCCATACTTCCACAGACTCGGGCACTCTCGTAAAAGCACCGTTGATTCTCACGAGACTTTCAAATGCCCTCTTCCTCTCCACACCCCTTCCCCCGAGTCCACCTCATCCGGTTGCTGACCAACTCATACAGCGCCCTCTTATTTCTCACAGTACTTCAAATGCCAGATCACACGGGCAGAGGAGAACGGCGAAGACATGGCCAGCGCCATCAAGACGCTGTACATCGACCGCGACCCCTTGACCTTCAAGGACATTTCTCTTCACCTGCAGGGCTACCACGTCACCCCTCGCGACGGGCAGCACTTTGTCCGCCTCTTCGCCGACGCCCAGTTCTACTCGCTGCCCAAGCTCATCTCGCAGCTCTACGAGGAGTCCATCTTCATGTCCATAGGCCACCGCGAGTTCCAGATCCCGCGCGACATCTTCCAGGACCCGGGCAACTCGCCCAACTTCTTCACCCTCGGCTTCGCCATCTTCTTCTCCAACCCGGACGACCTCTTCCCGGGCCTCGACCGCTCGGGCCTCATCCGGCCGCCGTCCATCGTCCCGCCGTCCATCCCCCACCGCAGCGCCGAGACCTTTGCCGAGATCATCCACCTCCTCCGCGGCTACCCCGTCAACATCCGCGACGACGCCCACCGCCAGTCCCTCCTCCGCGACTGCCGCTACTACAACATCAAGGGCCTCGAGCAGCGCCTGATCCCCCACTCCATCTCGTACAACCAGGCCCGCCGGCGCGACGAGATCGCCCTGCGGCTCGAGGACATCCTCAAGTCCGGCATCACCGTCGTGCCCGAGCCCGCCCCGGCGGACCCCCTGGCCGGCTGGGTCAACTACGCCCGCCCCTACGTCGACGACCGGCCCGCCGAGCTCGTCCTCGAGATCGGCGGCGAGGCGACAAAGGTCCACCTCGCGAGCATGCGCGCCGAGTTCTTCCGCGACGCCAAGGCCCGCATCTCGCGCCTCTTCGAGGTCGTCGCCACCAAGCTCAACCTGCCGCCCACGACGCAGCCCCTCGGCCTCCTCATGGCCAAGGGCGGCGCCTCGAGCGAGCCCCCGACGCCCGGGAACACGCCCCTGAGCGAGGACCTCGTGCGCATCATGCTCGAGCCCGAGACGGCCATCACGCTCGACGGCAGGCCCTTCGCGCCGCCCGAGGTCCTCGTCTCGGACGAGTCGGCCACCGCCGCCGCCGCCGCCTCAGCCGCCACCGCCGCGCCGCTGTCCGCGCCCTCGAGCGCGGGTGGGCTCGACTCTCCCGCTTCCGCAGCCGGCAGCGCCGTCTTCAATCCGCGCAAGCGCCGGCGCGTCGATGCCGGTCTGCTCGGCCAGGGCGCCGAGGAGTGGGTCGTGCGGAAGGGCCAGTGGCGGCTCCGCATACAGTCTTCCAGGCACGGCAAGAGCGCCGTCGAGTGTGTCCTCGTGGCTGTCAAGCTGGATGCCATGAGCTCTGAGCACGCGAGGAATGCTCAGCGCGGGTTCCTGAACTCATGAGCTGCACTCCTGCCAAATGCCAGGTAACATGAACGGTCTGGCTCGGTTGTCCTCTTTTCAAGAAGCAATGCATTTGTTAGCTGTGGTGTTGGGAGTTGTTGTATAATCTGTATGTACAAGTAGTCTCGAGCAGACGGGAGCCATGTCATCCAGTTGCATATAGTACAATGAGGGATGTAGCCGTGTTTATAGTAGCAGTTTAGTCGTCATACGAGTGATCCCTGAGCAGGCCACCCGCGAGATTCTGTTTGCGATTGCAAATTCCCAGTGTCCGAATGCTCCTCAATTAACAAGCAGCAGTACTATCCTACTTGTACAATACTCTAGAAATCCAGCGCGAAAGGTCCCCGACAAATCATTAGACCGTGAACAAAAACACAAGATCGCCAGAACGCCTGCCCGCTGGTTGTTTCCCCTTCGCACACAAAGTCCAAACACCCAAGCAATGCATAGCCAGTCCTGGTCGTCGTACATGAGCCGTTTTGTTCGTTCTGAAAGAAAGTATGAACACGAAAAAAAATCGTGGTGGGAGAGACAGACACAGCATCTCCAACACCACGGCCACCGCCCTACTTCCTCACTACCGCACCTTTCGAACACTAGCCGCACGGCCAACAGGGGCGCTGACATCCCTCCGCTCCTTGGCATCGGCCATTGGCTTCCTCGGCGTAATGGCGCCGCCCTGGGCACTCCTCGCGCGGCCCCTCCGCTCACGGATCTGGGCTAGAGCCTGCTCCCGCGTCATGGTCGGCGTGAGCGCCGGGTTGTTGATGTCAAAGTACGGACCACTATGCTGCGGAGTCTTTGCGCCGTTCGGTGTCCTCTGTGCAGCCATCAGGCGCTGAGCCATACTCGGATCCGTCGTCTCTTCCCGCAGAGGCACTTTTGTCGTTGTTGTGTAGAAAGACGCCACCGTGTGCGGTCGCATTTCTGGTTCCTCGTTCACCTCGTCAACGTCAACGGCAGGCTGCTCGTTTGGTACTGGCCGGGGCGTGGAGTCATCAGGGCGGTCTTGGGGGATGATTGGAGTTGTGTTGCCGGTCTGTTCCACTTCAAACTCTTCCGAGCCCATTGTGTCGTCGCCAGAGTCAGGTTTTGGCCCAGGCGTAGTTGGGATGTTGAAGGTCATCGGGGCCTGACCTTCCTCGTGTGGAGCTTCCAAGAGGGAGAGGAGAGAAGTGCGCTGTTGTGCTAGGAGCGCGAAGGAGGGAGGGTCAACAGATGGGGTACGAGCATAAAACGGCGGGTTTGAATGCGCCTCGACGGGTGTTGGAGGTTCTGTGGCCACCTCATCTGCCACCACTGTCTCCTCAGGTACCTCCGGTCGCTCCGCTTCCTCGGGCTGTTCCGGCGTCTCTGTCTCCTCTTTGACGGGCACAGATGCCACCTCCATGGCCTCGGCAACCTCTTGTGAGACTGTACGGAAGACTCCCTCCTCCGGGACAAAGATGGTACTCCGTCTGGGCTCGTTACGTGGTTTCTCCAGCTTCAGCCTCTTTGGTGATTTCTTTGCGGGCATCATAGTCATCGATGCAGAAGATGCAATTGTTTCGCTGACCATCATGGTCTCTCCCGTGTTCTGAAAAGTCAGAAGGCCGATTCGCTCATGAGCACCAGTCTCCATTGTGCTCGCACGAGGGCGTTTCTTCATGCAAGAACATGCCCTCAAGTGGCATTCTGCTTCAAGATACTCAACGTGATCGGCTGCTCGGTCAGCACGCTGCTTCTCCCATTGCCACAGACGAGTGAGCTCTTCGATCTCAGCCTCGCTGGCAGCGGAAGATTTGATATCCGCAGTGGAGAAGGACGAGACCCGAGGTCTCTTCTTGGGGGATGCGAATTCGTCGTGCTCTTCTGTAGAGTCACTTGCTTTTGGCAATGGCAATTTGCCCTCGGCGGCGATCTTAGCGACGTCATCTTCCGACTTGGCCAGCGACTTGAAGGCATCTCGCTCCTGCTCCAGGACCTTGATGCGCTCGTGCGCCTGTTCAAGCTGCTCCTGGCAGCCTACAAGACCGTACCTAGCGGTGAAGGCTTCCTGTTCACGTGCTTGGCTGCGCTCTTTCTCCCGCTCAAGGCTCTCCTCTGCAGACTTTTGCGCCTGTCGGGCCGACTTGAGTTCCTCCTGTAGTTTGACGATGACGCTCTGTGACTTGAACGTCTCCTTTCGCGCTCGTCGGATTTCCTTCTCCCATAATGCCTGAGTATGGGCATAGGTCTCCTTTGCGCGACCATAGTTCTCCTAGAGTCAAATAGGGGTCAGCATCTGACTTAGATGACAGGACTCGACACACGCGAGCTGCACATACCATTACAGTCTCCAGTCTCTCCCCAACTTTCCTCTCTCGGTCCTTGCCCTCCTCGACCTGTTTTCGTAATGATCGTGCCTCGTCGCGGTATCGGCGCATCTCGGCCTCGGCTTCTTCTCGTCCCAGCATGGCGCGCTTGAGAGCGGCGTCGGCCGTCTTGCGCTCGAGCTGTTTCGACTGCATGGCCAACGTGTTAAACTGGTTGATCTTGTCGGACACCGAGCTGTCTCGGGAGTGGCCCCCGCCGGCGTGGAAGGACGAGAAGATATCGCGCTGCTGATTGACGCGCTCGGGGCTGATGGGCTGCAGCGGAACGGGTGAGCAGGCCCGACTCGAATCGGGCTCCATGGTTGAAACTCAGCAAAATAGCGGGTGCTGGAAAAGCGAAGGCGCTGCGTAGGCAATGTTATATCTCTTGTTATCGAAGATCACCAAGCATCGAGAGGCGGCTCGAGTGACGGTTGCAAGCTGATAGCGCTACGGCCTAGATGCAATCAAGAGGTATGTTGGAAGGCATGGAGTCGAAAAGCGTGTTTACTTTGTGAACGCCTGTCTTTGACTGGATGCGACCGTTTTGGGTGGGGTTGCCTGGGAGACGCGACTTGGCTTGGACGATTTTGGAGAGCTTGTGGCGTCCTAAATTCACCAGCGCCCCACCCACTTGCACTAATTCAATGTGCCAAAGTCGGTGTGCCGTACTGGCATTACAGTGGAGCTGTTCGCTGAACAATGTGGAGTAAACCCGCCAGAGCAGCCCACTGGAGCTTCCAAAAGAGGTCTCGGAGCGTCAATGACATCCGTCATCCATGCCACTGTCATCCAATCCCGTCCCACCCAATTCAGACGGGCCCTGCATATCCGGCAGGGCTGCATCCAGACTGGATATCTGTCAAGTTTCTGTTTCATGGTCTAGGTCTGCTTTCTCTCCTTGTTTGTTAAGAAGACGTACTCGCCTCTTGATGTAGGTAACTGGACAGTCCTTGAACTCTTGCGATATCGAGCCAGACACGACTAGAAAATGGCGAACTCAGATGCCGAAGTGCGGCAAAGGAAGCCGCAGGCGTCCTCGGGCAAGGAGGATGGATCGAAGCAGGGCAAGAGCAGGAGTTCAAAATCAAAGATCGACGACGAAGATGTCTACAGCCCGTGGGTTGATATTGCCCGTGTGCTGACGTTCTTCTTCGTCGCATCCTGTGCCCTGAGCTACCTGATCTCCGGCGGCGAGTCGTGGTTCTGGGGAATGCAGAACCCGCCAAACTACCTTCAGAAATCTTGGTGGGAGAACTATTTTGTACGTACCATCTGTCCCATCTCTACCGAAAGAGTAGCTAACACATTCGAAGCGTGGTCCCATTCAGATGACCCCGGAGGAGCTGGCCGCCTTCGACGGCAAGGACGAGTCCAAACCGATCTACCTCTCGATCAACGGCACCATCTACGACGTCTCTGCCAATCGCCGCGTCTACGGACCGGGCGGCTCCTACAACATCTTTGCCGGTGTCGACGCTTCTCGCGGGTTCGTGACGGGCTGCTTTAAAGAGGACCGCAACGGCGACATGCGCGGCGTGGAGGAGATGTTTCTCCCGCTCGACGACTACGAGGTCGACAAGCACTATACTGCCGACCAGCTTCGCCAGATGCGTGCCGAGGAGCTCGCCGCCGCCAAGGAGAAGGTGCACGATGCGCTCAAGCACTGGGTCGACTTCTTCGCCAAGAGTAAGAAGTATCACAAGGTCGGCACGCTGAAGAGGGAGCCTGGGTGGCAGGGCAAGAGAAAGAAGCTTTGCGAGCAGGCAGGACAAGGCCGGACGCCGAGAAAGCTTCCCGGCGCAGAATAAGGGTTTTCTCCTTCCCCATCATAGATCAGCCAGCGCCTCTTTGTCAGGTACCTGGCCTGTAATATACTCTTAGCACATGCATGCGTGTACCACATCGTGTCGGGTTCAACGTCGAATCTCAGTTACAAGAAGCAATTTACCGAACCAAAAAAGAATACTCAATTGTCAATGCAGAAAATGTATCTAACAACCCGCCCCAGGAGGTCCTTCGAAAGTCATAAACTCCCCACTCCAGTCCGCTGGATCTTTTGTATCCAAGGAGATTCAACAGACAGGCCCCATATATTAAAGTCTTGACGCTTCTTCGCTTCCCCGGGTACCGGGACCCCGGCACCCTGCCGTTGACTCCGTCCTGCTTACAACAGGAGAGCAGAGGCGGCGAAACCGAGGAGGGAAAGTGCACCGGGCACAGTGAGCATCGAGCCAGCACTGGTGCCAGTCTGGGCACCGCCGTTGGCGCCATTGCCGCCGTTGCCGTTGGTGGTGCCCGTGGTGCCGCCGGTGGTACCGCTGCCACCGTTGCCGCTGGGAGCGATGTTGGCCTGGGCGCCCTGGGCGAGCTTCTTGAACTCGTCGAGGCTCCTCGTGGCGTTGGCGGAGGTGCTATAGAGCAAAAATGAGGTTAGCGTACGTGTCCTGGGAAAACCTAGGCACTAGATGTGTGTGCATATCGACTTACTTCTCGTTGATGACCATGACCATACCGTTCTGGCAGTGCTTGGCCTGTGCGCAGTACGCCCAGACGGGCTTGGTGTCGTTGATCATGATCGTGTAGGTCGGGATCATGCCCATCGACTGGCTGGCAGCGGCGGGGATGTAGCCCGAGTGGAAGCCGGTGGCGTTGGCGTTCATGCCGATGGGCATGCAGGGCTGGTCAAAGGTGGACTGTGTGACAGTGTGGTTGCCGCCCATGAACTGGAACTGGACCATCTCGCCGGCGTTGACCTTGATGTTGTTGGGGGAGAAAGTGAGAGAGCCGTTGCGGCCGACCTGGACAACGGTGACCTTGGTGCCTTGTCCTTGAGCTGTAAGACAATCTGTCAGTATCCTCCTGCCAAATGCCGATGCCATTCCCCTGTTGCTAATCCATGAGCCACGTACCGGAGACGAGACCCAGAAGGGCGGTCAGAGCGAGAGTAGAGAACTGCATTTTGAAAAGAGTAGAAGCTTTTTAAGTTCGGTAAACCTTTCGAATCGAAATAGTCCAAAGTAGACGAGTGACAGATAACTTGTTTTCCGATAATTGAAGCGACTGGCGCTGAACAGTGTAGGACTAGCCTTTTAGAAGAGAATGAGAACGATTCGAAAGAAAGAGAAGTCAAAGAAAACAAGAGAGACTGCTTGAGACGGGTATCTGCACTGGAAAATCAAGAGAAAGGGAAAAGCAGAACCAAGGCCAGCTTGAGGGAGAACGGCATGAATATAAAGAGCAGGACCCGATCGGAAGAATGAAGGATCACCCCGTGCTGCAACCACCCACACCCATGTTGTATGTCAGAAGCTATCGACAGGGGTAGGCCTAGGAGGCTCAACTGAGCATCTTGAAACAAGCAACCTGGGGACGTTTTGACCATCGCCACGGGCCCTCCCACACTCCTGGGTAATGAATTAACCCCTAGTAAGGACTCTGGCAGGGGATTAAAATTCCAAACTAGTGACGACTCTCAAGGAGATTGAGGCATCTACAAGCGCCGGCAACCTTGGGCCGGACTTTGACATCATGACGCTTGAAAGGCACTGGCCATGGAGAAGTCAACGAGACTGCTCGCAAAACACAACTGTCACGGAGGAGGCCACGGACTCGCGAGGCATGGCGTTCATCGGTTGCAAGAACGCTGCTCTCAGACTGCCGCGTAGCCGATGGTAACAATGTGAAGGCAACCCGGATGAGGCGGCATCTTGGGCCAGTCTCGAAGTCGCATGAGCCTACCTGGACGTTGACAGACTGAAGCCGACGATGCGCCCGATCAGTCCAGAGCCCAGTCCAAGACGCGAAGTTGTCGAAACATTGACCCCTGGGAGTCCCTGGAACCTGACGAAGTCTCCCTCACCGCGCGCTCTCTTGGGCATCAGGCGTCTGGGAGGGATATGCGTAAGCGCTTGCGAGGGCCATCTCCGGAGGCCTGCCAGGCATCGCCGGCAGCGCAGTAAAGCCAATGTGTCTGGACGATACCGGGGTCAGCCCCCTCGGGGGACTTGGGAGCCGAGATTGAAGTTCTCGACTGCGTCCAAGGCTTGTGGCGGGCGCAATAAGTGGTGAGGGGGAGGTTCTAGGGGGCAAGTGGCGCTCTGGCAGGGGTCCAAATTCACGGGGCACGGATCGCGTCTCATGCTCAAACACCTCTCAAACCCCAAGACGTCGCACCTTTCTGGCCTCGGCTATCTGGCAGCGTAATGGCCCGCAAATGCTATGCTTATCCAATAAGCTTTTCTACTCTGATCTAGCCATGGTCTTTATTCAAATGCAGAGAAGAATCGACTAGAGGGAGGCTGGAGCCATCTGCCAATCACATAACGATAGCATACTCAACAGCCTTGAATTCTTCATACGCTCCACTCAAAACTTCGGTATGTGATTTGAATCTGCGTTTGATGCCTATGCCTCCGGTACTTGACAAACACGCAACAGCCCAAATTGTTCATCTGCGTCGCGCATTGCGACCAACGACGGCTCACTTCTTAATTCTGCCTCTCCGGCAGCGATGTCTAAATAACTTAACCCAACCTCACACCTCACGACTTCCCATAATGAGGATTGAGGACGGGACTGCCCAATGCCGAGCTCACGCTTTGAAGAAAAGAAGAGACACAGATAGACCGGCCAAGGATTTCGTCAGATGCCATGTAGGCGGGCATACCCGTAAACACCTGAGGTCTAGGATCATCGTCGGGGATCGGTACGATCTTTTCTTGGCGTTTCTATTCCTCGCGGGGAAGGTAGAAAGTTTCACCAAGCTTCACGAGCCCCTGGCACCTGGCACCTGGCATCTGGTGCTCGGGTGGCCGGTCTGCAGTCCCTGAGAAAAGCCTGCCATCTGGTCCTTGCGGCCCATGATCGTCGACGTCCAGCGTGCGCCAGCATCTGAAATATCAGCAATGGCACCAGCTCTGCAATGCTATGGCTTGACAGTCCTCTGAAGCCGCGTGAGCGTCGAGCGAATGCCATAAGCAAAAGATGCTGAGATCTCGCAAAGATCTCAAGCCGCATGACGTCGTTTCACAGATCAAGCAAAAGCTGCGGCGCAACCTTCTCAAGGTCCTCAACCTGATTCAACTTGTCAGCATACGTCTTCGCCCTTCATCTGATCACCCAGCAACGAAGCGTACCTCCAAGAAACCCGCCTCTCTCTCCGCCGCCGCCCTGGCAATGGCCTCCCTCACAAAGATGTCCATGTACTTGGCAACCGCGCCGTTGGCATCCTTGGTGATTCGCGTACTCTCGCTCTCAAAGAACTCGTGAAGCAGGCGAGTCAATAGTTCTGCTGGGATGGTCTTTTGCTGGTTCTCTTCCTCCCGCTCGTCCTCGACTTGCTCGACCTCAGCACCGTGGGAAGGTGATGATTCTGCCCGCTCGGCCGCTCTCGGTCTGCCACGTCCTCTGGCCGCGCCGGAACTACCCCGTGAGGATGTGCTGGTGCGTTGCGCCGAGGTTCCTTGCTTAGGTGCCATTGTTATCCACGGGCTAGTTTGTGTGAGACTGGTGCGGGCCTGCCCACGAATGATCTAGATGGCGGGATGCGGAGGCAACTGAGATTTGAAAGAGAATGGAGATGTACTTGCTATCCCGTACAGCCCGTGACAAGAAAAGAGACTTCCTCCAAAAGCGACGAGGAGTCAATGTGATCAGTTGTGTTGTTCAAGTTAAGCCACTTTGTAGGAATTCACGTGCCGTCCACACGCGTTCCATGTAAACGTTAGCGCTTGGGCCCCACACATAGATACATGCCCACGGAAGTGCACAGGTAGCAACCACCAAGCAAACATCGCGTCTCCTCTGGGCTGTAGGTAGAACAGTAAATGGGTGCAGTATCACGCAGTTGGTGGGCCTCGGACAGCAATCCTAAGACAGAGGACCTTTTTATCTCACGACCAGGAAGAGAAACTATCGACCAGAGATGTCTATGAAGTCGTATGCAATCAAAGGAAAACAGGATTCGGACGGAGCAACAAGTCGACTCCAATGACATGATAGTAAGGAATACACCGGTGGGAATTGCCTGAGACGTATAAATTACAGCGGCCGAGTTCTAATACCAGCCAGGCGCGAAAAGAAGAACGCCATGTTTGCAAGACTCGGACGCAAGCCTGCTGTCACAAGAGCCACATGTGACAACTTCCCGCCCGCACTACCGTCTATCTGCCTTGATCAACCCTTCACTCCCACTGCCAAGCAGCCTCTTTTTTCACCCCATCAAGCACCCTCCCCAACTCGGTTCACGGTTTTGTACAAAGGGGTATTGGTTGTTTAGCCGGAGCCGCCCTTGAAGGCCTTGCCGAACATCAGGACCTGGAGCTGGTCGTAGATGGACAGGACACCAGCACCGGCGACACCACGGAGGATGTTGGCACCGGCACCCTTGAAGAGAGACTTGACACCCTCCTTGGCGACGATCTGGCGGAAGGCATCGACAGAGCTGCTGTACTTGACGGCCTCACCGGAGGTCATCATCATGCGACGACGGATGGTGTCAAGAGGGTAAGAGGCGATACCGGCACCAGTGGTGACGCACCAACCGAGAGCGAAGGAGGCCAGGAAGTTGTTCTCCAGGTTGCCGACGAGGACGACGGGCTTGATCGAGTCGTACAGACCGAAGTAGAGACCACGGTAGACGACGATACCAGCGACGGAGGGACCGAAACCACGGTAAAGACCAGCGATACCGTCGGAAGCAAGGGTCTTGCGGTAGACATCGACGAGGCCGTTGAACTGGCGCTCACCACCCTTCTTGGCGGACTTGGCGTCGTTGGCAAGACGGGTACGGGCGTAGTCGAGAGAGTAGACGAAGAGCAGGGAAGTGGCACCAGCGGCACCACCGGAGGCCAGGTTACCAGCCATCCACTTGGCGTAGCCATCCTTGTCCTTCTTGTAGCCGAACATCTTCTTGAACTTGTCACGGAAGGCGAAGTTCAGGGCCTGGGTAGGGAAGTAACGGATGACGTTGGCAGTGTTGCCACGCCACAGAGCCATGACACCCTCGTCGGCAGTGGTACGGCGGAAGCAGTCCATGATACCGGCATATCGGCGGTCAAGACGGCCAGCCTTGATCATCTCATCCTGTTGCGATTGTCAGCGGTTGACCTCGAGAAATTTGGACCATCTCAACTGTTCACACATACCTGGTTCTGGACGAGAAGCTTGACACGCTCGATAGGGGCAGCGGCGGTCTTCGAGACGGCGGCGGAGACACCACCCACTGTCAATACAGGTTAGTTGGGCATCCTTATGTGACGGTGCTCGATACCGATAATTGACCGACGTGTGCCTCTCTCTTTCCAAGGGGCACAGGCCAAATCAAACAGCATCGACCATTGTCAATGGGCGAATTGAGACATACTCAGGAAGTCGACCAGGAAGGGCTGTGATGAAGAGCTTGTTAGTAAACATTTCCTTTGGCCCAAAGTGAAGGAGAGGTGATGAAAAGGTGAGAGGGAAATGGGTGTGCACGATTTCGGAGATGCCAGATCGCAACAACGCCGATGAGCCATTGAGGCACAAGGCGCGAAGCAGCTGGCAGTGAAAACATGACGCCCAATTGATGTTCTCGCGTGAATGCGATGCCCGCGAAACCGAGCTTGATGCGCGAAACAGATGGATGTGCTTTGCCGAGGTCATGGCGAGGGAATTTCAGGAGATCGCAAACCTACCGGCATGCCCATGATTCTAATCTCGTCCTTGGAAGACATCTTGGCGGCTAGTCAAAGATGAAGGTCTTTGAGAAGATGGAGTGGAGATTAGAGAGAGAAAGGACTATCGTTCCTGTGTGAAAGGAAGGATGGAGGTTGGATGGATGAAGTCGTGAGAAAAATAATTCTACGACCGAATTTATGGGGGGAGGGAAAAAAAATTGCAGCAAGGCGGCCAGGGAAGGGGAGGAGCTTTTGAGCGAATCTTCCCGGCCACGCTAAAAATCCAGAGCACGGACGACAAGGCCGCTAGCTATCTGGGTACCTTGGCTGGCCCGCGGATTAGGTAGTACTCCAGCGTATCCATTGGTATCCTTTTCCCTTTCTACCACCGAAACCCGTGCCAATCCACCACCACTCTGACTTGAGCCAGTCCCACGGCCTCTCCGCCGTTCTGCCACAGCAACGCAACGCAACGGAACAGGAAAAGAGTGGACACACCTGCGCGCCTCAGGCCGCAACCGATGGCAAATTTCCCTAACGTAGGGTCTTACTCCAGCGCCCAGAGATAGGGAGGCTTGCAGGCCGGAGATGGCGCTAATTCCCTCCTCTCTGCCGGTTCGCCCCGATCATTCTGGCCAAGCTGGCCACTCGTGATGCTCCTTTTGCTCGTCTTTTTTTTACGGGCCACACGCAAACACTGGAGCCGTATTTCCCTCAAGGAGAGCAGCACCGTCAATTTGGTTGCATGGGCTCTCAGGTACCTACGTCTGCTTCCCCAGTTTATTTTTTTTTCCTTCCCCGGCCGAGCGAGGAAGCCGCTGTCGCCTACCGAATCCCGCCTTGCCCGATTTCCCCTTGCCTTACCTCGCTTGTGTACAGTGTCCAGCTTTAGATCGTCATAGTGCCTGCAGAGACTAATGTTAACAAGATTTGGTCAAGCGAATCAGGAGGAGCCCAAAAGGATTGTCTGTTGCGATCTATCTGCGCTCTCATGTAGAGGCCAGCGCCGTCTCTTGGGATATCTAGCCGCCTTTGCACTTTCACCCTTGCCATGCGAGCCATGATTCAACACGGGTGAAGAGAATGCTCCCCGGCGTTCCACCAGCCACTGGGTCGCTGCGTTATCTCCACTGCAGCCGCCCCCTTTCGGCAGACCAAGAGCTGACCCATCCGTCTCTTGCTCGGCTGGACTTCTACGCCTAGGCTCTCGGTCGAGCGGTCCCCATAAGAATCCTACTTGTACATGCTAGCAGCAGACTGTGCCGGAATATTTTAGCCAGGTCACCATCTCAATGTCAGGCTTTTCTACCCAATGAAATTGAGTCCTGTTTTCTCTAGTTTCCAAGCATGTCGGGGCGATGCAGACCGAATCCCACGATTGGCTTCCCCAATGAAACGAATGGCTAGAATAGGCATATGTCTTTTGATCTTTAGTACTCTAACTCTGCTCGCTCCGTAATGCCGTCAAGGTGTCTGTCTGGACGTAACTAACCAGGGTCCCACCGGCAAGACTTCGTAATGCAGCCGCATCATTGCCCTTTTCGGGTGCTTACCTAACCCTTCCTCGGATTTCCCAAACTACCCTAGTTTCGTCCATTTACATATCAGACTTTGGTCTGAGTAAGGAACTGCAGTGATGCTAAGCTATTTGGCCATTAAAACATCCCTAAGGCAAAGGTGGCAGTACTCTGCAAGGTCGAAAGCAGGAGTCAATTACGTGGCGGTACTGGCCGTGGGTTTGTAGACGTCCGGTGGAGAGTTCTGCCTTCAAAGCTCAGAAAAGAATCACTCAATCGTAGATGATTACACTAACAGAGCAGACATTCAGGCTTCAACATATATACGGTGATATACGGTGGAGCTCGGTAGCCATCAGAGGCGCAGCTGCAAACAACTCCCCTGCCCTGTATCGCAATGCGAAAGTTGGCAACAGGCCAATGACGGTAAAACCGAGAGTCACAACACAGACGACAAGCAAGACATGGACACAGCCTTCTTTCATTTTTTTGGATTCTGAGGAATGATCCTCGTATGGTTTAGGGCCCAAGCCGTAGAGACATGGGACGTCTATCACTCGGTCCAGCTTGGCAGATTCACCGAGGTGAGTGCAGAGTTGTGAGCCATCATTTTGTTGATGCAAATTGTCATTTTTGTTGGACCTGGAGCACTTCCGGCCCGTACGCTACAACCAGAGATGTGTCCGATCCCAGAGACGTAGCCATATCCGAGTATTCCATGCCGCCCTGCCAAAAACCCTCAACACAACTCCGCATGCATGTGGTATGAAGAATCGTCAAAGTATGAAAGCATTTAGTCAGAGCCGCCAACAGCACGAGCTGCGCAAACACGTTAGCCATCTCCATTGTTTCTCGGATTGAAGGGTGAGGCCCGGACGTACTGTAGATCTTCATCTTGCTGTGTCCGACAATCTGCTTGATCTGGCCCTTCTCCTCCAAGTCCTTCAGGCACCTGCGGGCGAGCGAGCCGTTGATCTTGAGCCTATCGACGAGGGTGGCGACGGTGACCAGGCGGTAGGACTGGACGTCCTTGTAGAGCTTGTCGGAAGTGGCCTTGTCGAGGATGACGGCGTGCTGGGCCTTATCCTTGACTGTAAATCTCGTGGGTTAGTACCGAAATTCGTGCGCTCGACGGGCCGATCGGAGGATTGAGCATACCCTTTCCCTTGGACCACTTCTTCTTCTGCTTCTTTGCTCCAGATGCTGCGGGCGCCATGGTGACTGATTTATGCCGTGATGTTTGATGGCGTTGGTCGTGGTTTGGAATCAGTGGTGGTCAGGGCTGGATCTTTTTTCTTAGGACTTGAGACGCACATCGGCCGCTTAGGTCAAGACCCTAAGGATTTTTCGAAGTGGGGCGGCCTCTGATTGGCCGAGCCGCAATTGAGGACCGAACACCAAAATTCTAACCAACTAAGAATTTCACGTTTGTCGACTACGCCTTTTTCACCAGCCAGCACAATTCCAACAACCACCGTCAACCAAGTCAGTCATCACGGTAGAAATCATGTCTGACAACGGCGAGATTGAGGTCGAGGCCATCTCCGGCTACCAGGTCCTTCCCAAGGATGTCACCAGCGAGCTTGGTACCATCAAGCTGTTCAACCGCTGGTCCTACGACGATGTCGAGATCCGCGACATCTCCCTGACGTAAGGACGCCTTCCCGGTTTTGCTTTCGAAGAGGGGGAAAAAATGTTCAGTTTCGCAATCGGAGGACTATGCTTGCCGGGTTTTTTCTGGGATAGTTGCCTGTCCCGGAATGATGGCCAAGCGGCAGCGATTGGGATGGCCTCGCACATACATATCACTGAACATGGATGCTAACGCCTCTCTCTCTCTCCATAGCGACTACATCCAGATCCGGTCTCCCGTCTACATCCCTCACTCGGCTGGCCGATATGCCCAGAAGCGATTCCGCAAGGCCAACTGCCCCATCATTGAGCGCCTCACCAACTCCCTGATGATGCACGGCCGCAACAACGGAAAGAAGCTGATGGCTGTTCGCATTGTTGCCCATGCCTTCGAGATCGTAAGCCAACAACGAAATTCTCTGGCCATGCACAGCCAGGCACCGAGCAAGGAAAAGCTGACCGAATACTCCAGATCCACCTGATGACCGACCAGAACCCCATCCAGATTGCTGTTGATGCCATTGTCAACTGCGGTCCCCGTGAAGACAGCACCCGTATCGGTTCCGCCGGTACCGTCCGACGACAGGCCGTCGATGTCTCTCCCCTCCGCCGTGTCAACCAGGCCATCGCTCTTCTCACCACCGGTGCCCGCGAGGCCTCTTTCCGCAACGTCAAGTCGATTGCCGAGTGCCTTGCTGAGGAGCTGATCAACGCTGCCAAGGGAAGCAGCAACTCCTACGCGATCAAGAAGAAGGACGAGCTGGAGCGTGTGGCGAAGAGCAACCGGTAAAGGGTTTGGGCGGTGTTGTGGCATTCGATCACGGGTTTGGCGCGAAACCAGGCATATGTTCTCTCTACGGAAGTTGCATTTGCGCGTTCAGGTTTGGCGGATGCGGTTTTCAGGGCACTCTTGTCAATTAGGGCTCTCATTTAAAAAAGGCTAGCTCTACTGGAGAGCAAATCATGAAACATTGACATCAACTTATCACATGCATGGCTTTTGGTGAATGGAGATATCTGTGACAATACAGGTATGATTCCACGCAGGTTGCAATATGGAACTTGGTTAAGTTGTGCCTGAACATCAGGTACGGTGAGTACAATTCTCTGCAGGTAATGAGGAGCAAGCCAATAAGCCTTGCACGATGCTCCTGCGGCATGTCTGGTACACTTTGTCTACGGTTGATTCTCTACACACTCACACCGGGAGTGGCTGCTCAGGTGTAACCTGCAATCGTTTGAACATGCCTACATGCTCTATGCCTTCTTCCCACCAACTGCCCATGCCCTCGTCTACCACGAACCCCATCATCTTCCAGGCCGTCGAAGCCTGTGTTTGCGCATGGGCACACACAAGGCCGTTGAACTTGGGAATATCACTCGCTTTATCAATTCCCAACTGTTCAAATCCCATAGTTGCGACGCTGGGGTTGAAATACGTCGGGTGTTCTCTCATCCACTCTAGTGCAGTGGTCACCAGAAGGCGGCCCAGCTTGTGGCGCCGGTACTCCTTGACAACTGCTAGTCGTCCCAGCTTGACGTACGGCTCCTTGCCGTCGTGGAACGTGGTGCGCCTGTCCTCTACAAAGTTCGGCAGCGCGTCCTCCTCCCCGACCTCGCGCTGCCCGCGCTCCGAATCGGCGGGAACGACCGTGCCGTCCTCGCCCATCGTGCCGATCCTGACAAAGCTGCCGTCCCGCATGGCGTACGCGGCGCCCGGGTCCGGGTGCGGCGGGTGCGGGAACGGCACGATGCGGACGGTGCCCACGGGCTGGCTCCGGGACTCGCTCCGGCGCGGCTTGACCACGTTGCCCGCGGCGTCGCGCTCCTCGGGCTCGACGGTCTGGTTGACGCTGGCGTAGACGACGAAGTGGCAGCACCGCGCGTCGTCCTGGTCGAACTCGGCGTCCGCGGGCACCTTTTGCTCCTCGACAAAGACCCGTTGCCGCACCTCCATGGCGTCGAGGAAGGTGGCTGGGATGGACGGGGGCTGCTCCGACCGCGGCAGCTTTGGGTCGTAGCCGTCGAGGTTGGACGGCTCCAGGAGTGCCACGAAAGGCGTGCCTTGGGAGGCCATCTTGGAAGGCAAGTGTGTGTACGTTTTTCTTTCCCTTTTCCTTTGACGCGGGAGAGCTCAGAGAAGAGGGCGAAAGCCTTGGTCGATGCAGGCAGTAGCAGCGACAGCTTGGATTCTCCGCAGCCAGAGCGCGAGGTCAAATATTGCTGTACCGAATCTCAACAGAGTCGAAGAATAAAGAAAGGAGGGCGGTTTGGAAGTCTTGCTAGCTTAATTCACAGAGTCAAGTTGCCTGGCGTCAAGCGGCTCCTTGATGACAGGAATGCGAAACTCGGGCAGGGATGTCAAATTTGGCAGCCGATGGGGTTGGCGCCGTATGTTTAGCGGAACATTTCCATTTGATCCATCAACATCATACTTTAGTATCAACATATATCAATGATGGATTAATAAAAGAGAGAACAGAAGTAAAACTTCAAAATCTTAGCTTGGTTGTATGTTGGTCTCAGTCAGTCGCTCCAGCAAAACCCCCTTTTCATGTACTGATTGCAATGCTCTCTTCTCACCAATGACAACTTTCACTCTCATTCGGCCAATTCTTACCCACTCTGACCGGTCACACATGTCACTCCCATGTCCTCATGAGAAGCGCAAATCTAGATGACCTGAACTTTTCAAGTGCCGGGTCAGCATAAACTATTCCTGCGACTCAATATACTTGACTTTTTAAACCTGGCTTGGATCAACTCTCAAAGGCTCAGAACAGAACAGCGCTTCCCTGTCCAGAACGCATTCTATGCGTATTACCTCGAATTGCTCACACTTCGCATACCATGTCGGCATGAGCTTCTCACCATCGCCACATTAGCACTTCAAGCAACAACGGTCCTTCTTGTGCGTCTCCGCGTCAGCTCCGTCTTTTAGCGTACCTAAGCTGATAGGAAATGCTCTTGCAGTGGGGTAACCCCGCTGCCGGCCTGTTCTCCGTCATCCGTCCGACATCGTCGAGATCAGCGAGTCTGGTCAGCTTTGTAAGGGTCGCAATTGCCAGACACTGGGATTCATAGAGTCGTTCAGGTCAGCAACGCTAGGATCAACATGGCTGCAGCAGACAACACAGTAGCAGGACGGCTTGCCCTGATTACAGGTGCATCCGGTGGGTAAGTACCAGTGGCCTCCTGGATCGAGTATACTTGATGTGTCTGGTTTGGCTAACCTCACTACGACCCCTCCTCGCAGAATTGGAAGAGCCTGTGCCATTGAACTGTGGGGAGAAGGAGCTTCTCTCGCGCTGACTTATAACCGCAACAAAGCGGCCGTCGATGAGCTCGTGCAGCTACTCACCAAGGATGGCAGCCATGCTGCCCAGAAGATCTCAACTCACCAGGTCGACATGGCTTCTGCCGACGGTTTGACGTCAATGATGGCAAATGTTGAAGAGCAGCATGGCCGGACGCCAGACATTCTCATCCCTAACGCTGGATACGGCAAGCGTATCCCAATGATCAACGACATACCTCTTGACGAGTTCGACTATACCTTGACAGTGAACTTGCGATCAGCTTTTATCCTCGCCAAGGGCTGCATTCCCGGTATGACAGAGAGGAAATGGGGCCGTATTGTCTTCATATCTTCCATTTCCGGGCAGGGTGGGGGGATCAATGGCTGTCACTATGCTGCCAGTAAGGCCGGCATGACTGGGATGATGAAGAATCTGGCGAGGAAACACGCAGCCGATGGGATCACTGTCAACGACGTGGCGCCAGCCATGATTGGCGACACGGGCATGATTCCAGATGCCAAATACGTTGCGGGCACTCCGGGAGACGTGAAGAACATACCTGTTGGCAGATTGGGAACTCCACAAGAGGTCGCGAACGTGGTGATGATGCTATGCAAAACTGGCTATATGACAGGACAGAGCATTCTTCTAAGTGGTGGCTTGCAATGATGTAACTCACATGCTATTCCTCTTTATTTGCAATACACAAATCTCATCAAAAGCTTTTTTGGAGCATACGGCAAGTACCGTACATTCAAAACTACGTCTTTAGCATTGACAGTTGTTGATGAAAGCATGTCGAGTAGAGACCAACCATAGTATAGTTGGATAGTACATATGTACACTATACGTCGGAAAAGACCTGCAGCAAACTCATTCGCGATCTATTTACTCCCAGCGATGATACGCAAATTATGTACAAGAAAACAAACAGGCGGCACAGCTCCCTGTACAAACCGGCCTCTCCAACGACCAAGTTAACGCAGTCCCGTCTCGCTTACTTGGCGCAGACGAGCTGAATGTTACTGATGGAGTAGGGTGAGCCAGTCTTGGTAAATGTAGACCAAGTGAACGAGGTAATAGCGGTGAGACTCGCGTTGGCAAATTCGTTCAGCGGAATCGTAACAGCACCAGCAGTAGCAGGGACTGTGACATTGTGATAAGCACTTTTGTAGCTGGTGGCCTCGCAGTTTGCACGCGACTGCAACTCGATGAGGAACGAAGCCTGTGCGGGGCCAGAGAGGGTGAAAGACAGGGCATTGTAGCTGTCTGCAGCGGCATTGGTGCATGGAAAGTTCTCGTAGAAGTACGATCCGGCCTTGGGAGTGAATGTGAGGGTGGAGCCGCTCGCGCTGATTGAGGTCATGGAGTTGTCGTCTATACGGAGTCAGTCAAGGCATTGCTGGAGCCGCCGGTGCTGAAAGCACAGTCAATGACACTTACCTCCACTAACTGACTGCAATGTGTTGGTCTTGTTCGCGAATGTAGCAAAATTGTCGATGACTTTGTTAGCTGTACACTTTGCCCCCAGTGCGGTACTGGCAAGACTGGCCGTGGCCACCGCGATATACTGGTCGAAACGCATGTTTTCTGTTGAAGATCTCGCGTATTTGGATGTGCTCGGGAAGAATAGACAGTGTCTGCGTCTATCTCATGACTGAGAAGTTGCTAAGGGCAGAAGATGGATGTCGTCGAGGTCCATTTATATCCATGTTCAGAATGAACGCCACGTAATAAACACCGTTCATATATGCTCATACTATACAGCCTACCTTCGGCAGAAACCTCATTATGCATTGAATATCCAGGATTCAGAGTTTGGCCCTCACACAGACTTCAGGGCGAAGGAGTGAGCTCGTTGATGGAAGCAGCGCAAAACGTTGCCGGAACATATTAGCCAGATTGGGCCCCTTTTTGGGAAGATTCCGGGATGGCAATCTCCCCACGGTGCTGCTATGCGCCGCTTATTTCCCCGCAACCGGTGGACGAGAGCCGAGATGAGATTGACGCAAATAACCGTATACATTCCATAATAAGTCTGGCCATCTATATGACACAGGAACGTCATGTCTGAATGTAGCATTGTTGCAACCCGCTCTGCAGATCATACATAATGCGCAGAGCCGTGTTACCTAGACCAGGTCTGATGAACTGAAAAGAACTCTCTTTCTTATGTTTACTGGTGTTCAAAGGATTTGAAACGTACATCGATGACTATTGTTCCCCCCGGAAAGATCCCCTCGACATCTTTTCTTCCATCGATAGTAAATTGTCAACCTGTCTGAGGCTGGCTGCTAGCTCGCCAACTACATTTCCATGCGCAAAGGCATCAACCGAAGAACTCTTGTTCAACACTCCTGTCAGAAGGATTTACGTCTTGAATTTTAGACCATCTAGCCAAAGTCGATTTCCCTCTCACGATATAGGCACGCAAATCGTACGGTCTTGGTATAGCTCTGAGTTATGGCATCTCAGAGCCTTGCTATGTTCTTTCCCGTTGGACTCGGCTGGACCATATGGAGTACTGGACTGGACTCGAGTAAAAAAAGCCTCTTGATGCAGTGCGACACGAATGCACAATGGATAGAGCATTGCTTTCATGTCTGGGGAGACCGCCTGCATAGTTAACCTTGCTTGTCTCTTATTTTATGCAGGTTTCTATTTCTTGCAAAAGCATGTGTGTGAGGGTAGTGTTTGCGGCTGTGCCCGACTACGCTCACCTCCTCAACTAACTTCCCAAAAGCCTTTGAGCCACCAATGGAGGAAAGGCAGCTGGAGGTGAGAGGTCTGCTGGTGGAGGCGCAGGATGCGGCATTGTGAGTCCTGGTGTGGTGGGGAGGGCCACGAGGGCCAAGCAGCCCACCGCACGCGTGCGTCTTGGGGGATTATTTTTCAGTGGAGATATGTTCTTATCGCGCCAATGGGCGGCTTATCAGTGTCATCATCCCAGGAACCGACCAGGGGCCACCAAAATCCAAAGCTGTCCTCTTCCTAGCGCCAAGTCCGCTGTGACATAACTGTTAACTAAGGGTAACTCAGTACATGTGGCCCGGCCCTGTGAGATTCCTCACCAAGCCAATTCACCACCAGGGATACCTAGAAGACAGTCGAATCTTTTTTCTTGAGGCCAGATTACGTGCCAGGCTGGCTGGGTCCATTGACTTGTGGACTACATAGCGCGCTCGCTGTCTGTGCTGCTGCTCCCAGAGCTTTCCAGTCTGCCTACATTCATTCTCCAACGACTTCCCACAGCTTTAAGCTTGTTCCTTTTTGGCCCTGCCCTGCATCTTGTTTCTTTGTTGAAGTAGCTGGTGAGCGCAGTTGCTTCTGTGCGTACCGGTCTTGTCTATCCTCAACAGCGCGGCCTTGATTTACCGCTAAATCAATCTTGACTTGGGGCTGTTTGCGCCCAAGATTCTACTGCCACCATGGCGCGAAGTCGGTGGTCGCCTTTGTCGCTTTTCCTCTGCGCCGTCTTCTTCTTTTCCGCACAGGTCTTTGCGGTGTCTGCCGTGCTAGGTATTGATCTCGGCACGGAGTACATCAAGGCGGCACTGGTCAAGCCTGGCATACCCTTGGAGATTGTCCTGACCAAGGACTCGAGGAGAAAAGAAGCTTCAGCCGTTGCCTTCAAGCCGTCGCAAAATGGACCGAAAGCAGGTGCCTACCCGGAACGACTGTACGGCTCTGATGCAATGGCCCTCGCTCCTCGATTCTCAGGCGATGTTTACCCCAACCTCAAGACTCTTTTGGGTCTGCCCGTGACCGATCCCGTCGTGACAGAGTACGCAGCCAGACACCCAGGTCTTCAGATCGAGGCGGATAAGACGAGAATTACTGCGGCATTCAAGAGCAAGGGGGCTTTTACACAAGAGGAGGAGGCCTGGTTGGTGGAGGAGCTGCTGGCGATGCAGCTGCAGAGCGTCCAAAAGAACGCAGAGTCTCTGGCAGGCTCTGGAACAACTGTTCGTTCTGTGGTTCTCACCGTGCCTCCGTTCTTCACCGTCGAGGAGAAGCGCGCAGTGGAGCTGGCAGCTGAACTTGCCGGGCTGCGTGTCCTGTCTCTGATCAGCGACGGTCTCGCAGTTGGCCTCCACTATGCGACAAGCCGCCAGTTCCCCAACGTGAATGATGGAGCGAAGCCCGAGATTCACATGGTTTTTGACATGGGTGCGGGATCAACCAAAGCCACCGTCATGAAGTTCCAGAGCCGCACTGTCAAAGATGTTGGCAAATTCAACAAGACGGTCCAGGAGGTCCAGGTGCTGGGCAGTGGCTGGGATAGGACTCTAGGCGGCGACGCCCTGAACTCGCTCATCGTCGACGACATGGTCGCTCAATTTGTTGACTCGCCTGCCGCCAAGAAGGCCGGTGTCACGGCTGACAAAGTCAAGGCTCATGGCCGTGCTGTCGCCAAACTGACCAAGGACGCCGAGAGGTTGCGCCATGTTCTCAGCGCAAACAGCAACACCCAGGCTAGCTTCGAGGGCCTCTTCGACGACGTAGACTTCAAGTACAAGATCGAGCGTACGGCTTTTGAGAAGATGGCCGAGGCGCACGCTGACCGAGTCGCTGTTGCTGTACGCAATGCGTTGGCAATGGCTGGTCTGAAGGATGCGGACCTGGACTCTGTCATCCTCCACGGAGGTGCCTCCCGCACGCCGTTCGTCCAGAAGCAGCTGGAAGGCCTATTTGGCAACGCGGATAAGCTCCGCACCAATGTCAACTCAGACGAGGCTGCAGTGTTCGGAGCGGGTTTCAGGGCCGCTGATATCAGCCCCAGTTTCCGTGTCAAGGAAATCCGTGTATCGGAGGGCGCGTCATATCCTGCCGGTATCAAATGGACCAACAGCAAGGGCAAGCTCCAGCACCAGCGCCTGTGGACACCTACCTCCCATCTCGGAGCTCAACCCAAGGAGATTACCTTTTCCAACAAAGAGGATTTCACTGTGGAATTTTATCAGCAAGTCCCCTCTCAAGCAACCGCTTCCGACCTGGTACAGAAGCCCACCAAGCTATTCGCCACCAAGAACCTCACTGCCACGGTGGCAATGCTCGGTGACAAGTATGGCTGCGATACTACCACGGCCTCTTTCAAGGCTGCGATGCGCCTGAGCAGCGAGAACGGCGAGGTTGAGATCACCAAGGCCGCCGTTGAGTGCGAGGTCGAAGATCAGGAGAAGGAAGGCTTCGTTGACGGTGTCAAGAATCTTTTTGGGTTTGGAAAATCCAAGGACCAAGAGCCGCTCAAGGGAGAAGAGGCAACTGCAAGTGGTGAGGAGACGCTATTTGATGCTTCCTCAACTTCTACAGAGTCCACCTCCTCTTCTGCCTCTACCCAATCTTCTTCCTCAGCTACTACAACGGCCAGCTCCGCTGCTGAACCGAGTGATGCCAAGGAGAAAGTTTTGAAGAAGAAGCTGGTCTCAATCCCCGTTGACTACAGCCTCGAGAAGGCGGGCAATCCTCAGCTCTCCAAGACCCAAATTGCATCACTCAAGGACAGACTCAAGGCTTTTACGGCTTCCGACCGGTCGCGGCAACAGAGGGAGGAGGCACTCAACCAGCTTGAGGCCTTTACGTACAAGGTGCGTGACTTGCTCGACAGCGAATCCTTCATTGCCGTATCGTCCGACGAAGAGCGATCAAAGCTTGAGAAGCAGAGCAGCGAGACAAGCGATTGGCTGTATGGCGACGGCGCGGATGCTTCACGAGACGAGTTGAAGAAGAAACTGAAGGCACTGCAAGACATTGTTGGGCCCATACAGAATCGCATTGATGAAAACGCGAAGCGACCCGAGCTCGTCCAAGGGCTCAAGGACGCTTTGAAGCAAACAGATGATTTTGTCAAGTCCATCAAGGAAAAGATCGCTGAGCACAAGGCATTCTTGGCCTCTTCATCGTCTTCTTCTACAACGACCGAAGCCTCTTCGACCACAGCTGCCCCTTCCAAGGACGATTTCGACGGTCTTGAAGACGAGGACGCTGCTTCTACCACCAAAGAGCCGGATATGGACGACGTCCTGAAGGAGCGTGGCCCCGTCCCGCCGTTGTATACTCTTGAAGACCTCAAGGAATCCGAGGACCTCTTCAAGACTGTCACTGCGTGGCTGGATGAGAAGATCGCTGAGCAGGCCAAGCTTGGCCCGGCAGACGACCCTGTCCTGACGATCAAGGACCTGAAGCTCAAGCGAGAGAAGCTTGACAAGGCAGGCATGGACCTTGCCATGAAAGCTGTCCGAAACTTTGAGGGCAAGAACAAGAAGAAGGCGAAGTCGAAGTCGAGCAAGACGAAGAAGCCCAAATCATCGAAGACGGATGAGCCGGCCGCGGGTCAGACAATCAAGCTGAATGTCGGGGAGGACGGCCAGATACCGAGCAACGAGGAGCTCGAGGAGATCCTCAAACAATACAAAGCAGAGCAAGAGCAGAACCAGGGGGCAAAGAAGGAGGAGAAGGACGGCGAGGCAGTCAAGCACGATGAGTTGTGATCCGCTATGACCGTTAGACCGGGTCTCGGAGTTCCGGATGATTTGATGTAGACATGAATCCCAGCGAATATACCACAATTACGCACCAAATTTGAAATATTTTGTGACTTGTTACGATTTGTCAAGGCTGGGGCCACAATCCATGTGCCATGGCCGTTGTTGATAGGGTAGATACCTGAAACTCGGTCATTTATTCAGGACCTCGCCAAGCACAGTACAGCATCTGCATGTGGCACTTCTCTCAACGTTACGCGAGGGATGCCTTGTGAACTCTTCGAGGACCTGTGACATAGCTAGTCAGCGCGTATGGCGTGAGAAAAGGCCCGTGTTGGTGAAGGGGGTTTGCTCGGTCACGGCCGCTTACGTGCAGCTCAGCATCTCTTCGTCTCACCACGGCAGCGTTGGCGAGTTGCCGCGAGACATGTCGCTTCACACAATAACAGGGGACGACAGCCACTCATTGCCAGTCCCGAGCCCATTTACCGGATCTGAGAGAGCGGAAACTGATTCCTCCAATCCCAGTTTGTTTGTCAATCTAGACTACATGCGTGAGCCACATGGCAGGTTGCATTTCTACCCTACCTAGTATTCAGGACTTACACTGGGTTTTACGAGCGACAATGGGTCTTAGTGCTTCTCATGATGATGGCATAGCAAACTTGTCGGTAGTACGAAGCGGATTTCTCTCCTTGTACAGTTGTTTCTACCCGACCCTGTACGGCATCCTCGTTGGATATCAGCGAGACTACCCATAATATCAAATAGAGTACCTTTCACCTTTCACCTTTCACCTGTGATTTGTGATTGACTCCTGATTTCCAAATACCCATGGGAAAGGGGATGGACAGGAGTGAACTCATTCGTTTTATCATCCCATATACAAGCACTAATTGAGCTTGCCCTCAGCTCTTCCTCACCTTCTCGTCACTCTGCACTCGTTTCTACCTCATCCCATTTCTCATCTTGTCATTTAAGGGCAGGCACGGACGTGCAAGCCTTCCCCTACACGTGGTAGCCTACGCGTATGACGACAATCGTTCATTAAATCAACGTTCTTTTCCTCTCGAGACTTTTTAAAGCATCTGTCGAGTCACTCTTTTTTTGCCGACCTGGATATCCCCTGACAAAGGCTCTTAGACAGCCACAACACGTTCTCTTGCAGCAACGCACGATGGAGCTCTTCCAGGTCATCCTCGTCGCCGTGCTTCTTTGCATCTCAGTCGACGCGCGCCCTTATCTCCGAGATGTCTCGACTTTTTCTGTCCCTGCCAAGTACAATGCTCGATATCGGTTCAATCCCCACCGAGAGTGGTTGAAGATTTCCCAGAAATACGGCGTTCCTCTTCCCGATCGACATCAACTCACTGGCGGCATCATCCCGGTCGACAAGTCCTCCGGCCCAGGAAAGGGTACTGTGCCTGCCTGGAATCAGACCAATGATAGAGAATATTTGAGCCCTGTCTTGGTCGGAACACCTCCGCAGTTGATTCACCTGGACCTCGACACTGGCTCGGCGGATCTGTCAGTTCCAATTCTTCCCTTGTTTTTGCGAGGGCTCATGACCATGACTAACAGATGGTTTCTATATAGATGGGTCTTCAGCTCTGATACACCCTCTCGTCAGGTAGCGGGACAGAAGATATACCGACCAGAGTCCTCAACGTCGTCCTCCAGGGTCGCCAACACCACCTGGGCAATCTCATATGGTGACGGGAGCTTTGCCGCGGGAACGGTTTACAACGATATCGTGCAGCTTGGCAACGTTGTCCTGCCCAATGCGACAATTGAGTCTGCCGGGACCGTATCAAGCTCCCTGACAAGTGACCGGTCCATGTCTGGTCTACTAGGCTTGGCCATCAACCACCCCAGCACTGCATGGCCTAAACAGCCTACCATTCTCCAGCAGCTGGGTGACCAACTCGACAACAATCTCTTCTCTGTGGATCTCAAGTACCAGGCCGAGGGAACGTATGATTTCGGGGTAAGTCTCATCTCCATGGCTCCATTTGAACGTCGAAATGTGGACTGACACGGGGGCAGTATATTGACCGCAGCAAATATACCGGCAACATCACCTACCACAAGGTTGATGCCACATCGCACTTCTGGAAGTTCAACCTCGAGCGCATCCACGTCAGCAGCATGAACACGTGGTACATCCACCACTGGCCTATGGTCGCCGACACGGGCACGACTCTCATGCTCCTGCCGGAGGAGCTCGTCGACATGTACTGGTCCCAGGTCCCCGGTGCCCATATGGACGAATTCTACGATGGCTACCTCTTCCCTTGCAACCAGAGCAGTGCGCTTCCCGATTTCGAGTTCGGCTTCAACGACGGTTGGGTAGGCAAGGTGCCCGGCCACTACATGAACTTCGAGAACATCACCAAGACCGAGTGCTACGGCGGCATACAATACGGCTTCCCGGACATGGAGTTTGGTATCCTCGGAGATACCTGGCTCAAGTCCATGTACGTCGTCTTCGACGCTGGCAATGAGCGGATCGGCTTTGCCAACAAGGCTTTGTGAAAGGTCCATTTCCCGCAGGTAATGCTCTTTCCAGTTGAGAAAAAAAAAGCAGATCGAGAATTGGGGGGGGCGGCATGTGTTTTTCTTCGATTAGAATAATCGCGGTAATTTATCCGGTCCCGGATGGGCTTAATAATTGAACCAGCTCTTCTCTCTCTCTATCTCAGAGGCTCTGTTCTCCTTCGGAAGTTTGATGTCTGTCTTTACGAGAACCGTTGAAATGCTGGACGTTGAGGTTTGATGCTCCCGTTTTAAGGGGCATGCATGCATTCTGCCGTACCAAGCATGTAAGTGACCCGATTCGCTCCGTCTCTCAACCAATCGCCAAGTCACGAAAACTTACGCTTGCAAAACAGCACATTTGACGAGGATGGGGTTTGCAGCGATGCAGACTGGCGTATCCAATCTGATGCTCATTAGGTTGTAGCAGCATCTATGTACAGTACAGATCTCAACGAACCCTCCTCCCCCTCGGTGGTAGACATCCAAGCCATGAAAAGCTAGCGCACATAAAGACATCCCGAAACCAAGCCATCCAAACGAATGCTCCCCAATGGAAATGCCGCGCAATTATTCCGAATTTCACTTCACGTGTGTGCTGTGCTGAAAACACCCACCCCACCTCCGTGCCATCATCGTGCAAAACAGGTAAATAACGAGAGTAAGAGAAATCAACCGACTAGCCAGGGCTGGTGAGGGTGCTAGTCGAAAAACGCCGGAAAGAGGAATACGTGCTGGCTGATTTGACAGACGGACAGGACGAAAGCAGCATGAATGTGTGGGTATCTTTGTGATCGTTCTCCTCGAGCCCGATTTGGGAAATGCAGGGTTGGTCGTGTATGCGACTGGCGGCGGAGGCCATTCGGTGAGATAATAATCAAAGGAGACGATACGGTAGGGTAGGCATCTTAAGCTCCTCCCAAGTCTTGCCCGAGTTGCTTCGTTGCTCATGCCTCGTGCTCGCCATCTGGGACAGCAACAAGAACAAAACGTTAGCACTCTGCCCACACCCCGTTCACCGCAAGCAGCAAAAAGGCAGAGTCTGAGAAGAAGCAAGGCTGAATCTATTCACCTTCACTGGCGGTCGGGGTGGGCGGCAGGGCCCCCGGCACCGCCTGTTGGCTGGCTCTCGCCGTGCCGGGCCTGCTGCCGCCGTACTTCTGGTCGCCCCGCAGAGGGAGGTCCTTCTCCACGGGCGGAGGGGGCTGCTCGCCAAAAGCGTTGCTCAGGGGCGCACGCTGGTGTCGTGGGCTGGTGGCGGGAGATTTCTGCTGCTGGTCGGAGCCGCTTGGCCGGTCCTTGCCCTGGGTCTTGAGCCGTGCCTCCATCTCCTTGATGCGCGCCTCGAGGGCCTGTAGCTCGGTTGTCTGGTTGTTCAGGGTCTGCTTCCTGTGGCAAGGGAGAAAATGCCGTTGTTAGTGACTTTTGCGATGGGATTGAACAGACGAGGTAGGACGAGTGCCAGCCGTGGACCGGTATCGAGGGGTCGGGTCGAGCAGGCTAGGCCTACTGAATGGTAGAGGATACTCACCGCTTGTCCACTTGCTCATCCAAGTCGGCCACACTGTTCTCGATGCGGAAAATGTCCATCAGCTCTGCGGAGAAGGACCGCGCAATTGTTCTGGGCAGGTCTGACTGTCAGCAGTCTGTTTGATGCATCAAATGTGGCGAGGGACTTGGAGACGTACGACTGCGGTCGGCGGCCATTGGGCTTCCAGTCACGGTCGAGCTCCTCGTCAGTCATGGCTGCTATTACTTGGCTGGCTCTTGAAGATACTCGGCTCGTTTTTTCTTGGTGTCTATTGTATGCCTTGTTCGCAATGCTCGAGTTGAAAAGTGCTTGAGAATAGGTAAGAAGGGTAAGTGGTTCTAGAGAAGTTGGGGGAGGGGATCAAGTTGAAGGAGGAGGAGGGCAAGGGGATGGATGCTTAAACAAGGGCCGCCAGAATTGCGGCCAGCTGATAGGAGAGTTAAAATACAAGTGACAGCAAGTGCAAGTGACCAGTGGCAGTCGAGTTTAGGGGTGCCACAACGAACTTTCAACGACAAGGGAATTACGGAGCACGGCAAGTTCTTCAGTCGGTGTAGTTCATCACCTGCAGGGTCGCGCATTCAAAACGGGCCAGGTTGGTCGAACCTTCTCCTTGTAGGTACTTGTAGTTAAAGCTAGCTGCGGGAAAGGGGGCGGGGTGGAACGCCCGCCAGCGCGGGTCTGGTCTGTTAGCGCACGGCCCAGCGTCATTCGGGTTGCGGCCACTAAAATGGGCCCCCTGGCCAGGTCCTGCTAGTGAAGGCGCGCGCATCAATGATGCTGTGGGGGAGCGCTGGAGATTGACCCTGGCGCACTATTTCCTTTTTACCACCTGAGCCGGGCTATCCATTATTTCTGCTCGGGCGGTTCCATTCGGGTTACAATTAGTTACCTTAGTTCTTTGATGGCAGAGGGATGGTATCTGGTTGCTGTTGGCTGGTTGCTCCGAACATCAAGCAAAGCCATCAAACCTTGCAGCCAAGCGCGCGATGATCTCCCTCTCCCTCCCTTCCTTCTGCGGTTCCCGCCAGATCTGCAAAGGGAAATCAACCCCTCCCACCAGAAATGATGAACCGAACGATAGCCAGAAATGCAATGACCTTTAGGCACGACTCGTCTGAAACAGTCAAAAGATGTTTGTCGCAGCTCTTGTCTCTCCTCATCTCTGCCTCGGGAATGCTGGTGCCAGCAACGACATTACGGTGGGTCTGGCCATTCATGCGGTCACTGGCCCTGCCCTTCATCAGCCCAGCGCATGCGGTGTCCTCGCTGCTGATCAAAATCTGTCCCCACGATCAAATGGAAAGGCAATCTTCCTTGTGCTACAGCCTACAGGGGGCCTGGCTGGACTGTCCCTCGGGTCAAATTGCATGAAAATTAAGACGTGACCAGGGCGGCATGACCCCTGGACGAAATGAAGATTGAAGTGTGCATCATACTTTACCCAAGTCCACCACACTTATGGACTTTATCCAGGTGATCTACTCACCAAGCTCACCCCATGACCTTGCAGATTGCTACTTGTACAATCGGGTGCACTCCTTTTATGTCGAGGGTAGAGAGAGCCTCTAGGCGGTAGAGAGGACACGAGAAAACAAACCCCAGATCCTTTCCAAGTCTGAGCGTCGGACTCGGGGGGATGTGCAGGGATTCAACGCATAAAGTGCATACATGTATGCAATTCGGCCCACCCATGCAGACCGGGTACAAGTGTCAGCTACAGACGGGACAGAAGAGCCGCATCGCATCCTGGAATCACACGAGTGCACGACCTTGCTCAGGCACACCTGAGGAGCAATCAAGATGCAATATTGCATCCGCTGGTTGGGGAAGATTGATTACCTGGACGGAATTGATTGTCCAGCCCTGCTGCTTCATTCCTGCGCCTACCACTAGGAAGCTACCCGCATCTAGCCAGGTCTACTTGACCTTATTCGAGAACTTACCGTCCACCGTGTGCATTTTGGCTCGAGTAGAACCAGCCTAGGCCCCTATCCCGTTCCCCAGATAGGAGCTGTTAGCCAATGATATGCCCTTCATGCCCAACACTTCATTTCGGACGAATCCTGTCTTTTGCCGACCATTTGCAGGGGGTTCCTCCAGCTCACAGTGACTACACCTTCCTTGCAGCATTAGGTACGTAGGTAGGTTGCATGATGAAATTCTGGATGGCATTTCCGGAGATATATAAGGCAACACCCCTTTGCCAGTCGACTCGGGTACTGGCCGCTCCTTGAAGCCGGCTCTGTGGCAGAGTAGAGACGCTTGTTTGCAGGCTACATCTTAGAGTATTGATGCTCGATCAAGATGGCGAGAATATGGAGAAGTAATGGCGAAGCCAAGCTGCATGCCGTTGGAATGCTTCTTTCAGGTTTGCTGCATCGTAAAAATCGAAGATGAAGCACTTTGCCGGGTGGATGGATGGGGATGAATCGTCAAAGAAAGCGTGTCACATGACCGGGCTAGCGGGAAAGTTAGCATTGCGCGCTGTGTTGCTCATTTTCGCTCCCTAACAATTTCTCGCCGATCTCCCCTTCTCCTCCCAATCAACCATCAGTGCAACTGCCAGCCAGCCAGCGAAACAAAACCCAAAAAAGTCGGCCCAGGTCACAGCTCCCTTCCCATCCGAGGATCCCACTCACGTGACTTGAAAACAACGAAGCAAATCTTTCTCGACGACATCGCGAACCAGCCAGGCGCCAAACGAGCCTTAATATCCACCATTAATTAATGATTTTGTCCTTCCCATCGTCGGAACTGCCCGGAGTGTCTGTCTGAAGGCTGGCGGTACGTTTGATCCGCAGTTTTCGGCCCAGATCCGGCCCCAGACTCATCGCGTGCGTTCGCGTCGGGCGCGACTGACCGACCGTCATCCCAGATCGTGGCGCCCATTCATCTTCTCCAGAGACGCGACAGTCCCCTCGAACGCTGGCGAGGCGGATACTGGCCCATGACTAACACCGCGGCCTACACGCCACTCGAATCGCTATTATTATTCCAATCGCTCCTCCAGTACGGCGTCGAGACAACTGCCTTCGCCCAGATCTCAAGCAACCTAAGAAACAACGGTCTGATTCGAGATGGTCCGACCTACGATGCCAGTCGACTGAGCCCCGAGTCGCTCCAGGAGCTGTTTCTGCAGCTTCTGCGCGACGAACTCAAGGGCGAGGACGGCCGTAATAATGCCGATAAACTCGAGGGTAGCTTGTCGCCTAACAGCAAAAAACGCAAGCTGCAATCACCGCCGCTGCCAACTTTGCAGGAGGCGCGTCTTCATCTCGATAAACTCCCTGTCTTTGTAGAGAGGCTTTACGCGCGGTATCGGGACCATGTCGTCCGGTCAATCAGGGAGGATGAACGACGCTTCGATATCTTGCAGAAAGAGATACAGACCATCGAGAAGGAGGCAGAGGCCGTGAGCAGTCATGCCAGCCTTCAGAACGGAGCCGCAGCAGCTACAGGACAGCGATACGGACAAAGGCCTAATGGGGCTGCCCCTTCGCCGGTCCCTACGGCCGTGAATCATCTGCAGGACACAGCGAAGCATTCACCGGTGCCGCAACCACGCCCGATATCTCCCGCTGTACAAGGGTTAGCAGCTCCCGGCCAACCGGTTCTCGCTCAGTCCCAGCCTGCTGTTGCATCGCGGTCAGCATCGCCAGCCGTAGGCCCCATGGGCCGGGAGTCTCCAAGGCCCCCCAATGCTGTGCCCCATGGTCTGCAATTACCTCAGGGTGCTGCAGGTCTTGCGCCTCGACCCACACAAGGGCCGGCCACCCCTCAACCACCAGTCCCGGAATCTCAACAGAGGGCGGATGGAAGTGCAAAACACCAGGTACCAGTTCACCCAGGTGTCGCAACTGGACAGCTAAAGTGGGAGCCTCCTTATCAGCCACAATCTGGACCGCCCTCACAACCACGCAGTCCGGCCAACATCGCCCCTTATCCCCCTCCCAAGGGTCAGCCTCCGGCCCGGACTGCGCAGGCAGGACAGCAGCAATACCAAGGCGTTCTTCAGCAGGGCCATGCTCCTTTGACGCACCCCCATGCGCCTTCATCACTGCAACAGCCGCAGGCCGTGTTATTGGCACCCTCTAGTACGCAATCGCCACAACACGCTGGCCAGCATCTGGCCCCACGGCAGCCCACCTCCCAACTACAAAGGCCTATTGCGCCTGAACAAGCTATTCTTGCTCCAGCCCCTCTACCTCCTCCACACAACGTTGCTCAGTCTGGGCCTCCTAGAATACCAAACAAACCACCGACACCAAATCCACCGTCCTCAACATCGATTCCTTCAGGGCCTCCACAACAACAGCGGACGGCAACCACAAATATCCCGCTTCCTGTCAACCAGGTGCAATCACCAGCGATTACTGGCTCAGCATCTCCTGCTCCTACTCAAAGTGATAGTCAGAAGCCTTACAGCTCTCCGTACAACCAGCAGCGTCCAGCTGTACCTGAACATCTTGTTCCTCAACGAGTCTCAACGCCGACCCCGCTTTCAAAAGCTCGACATGCGCAAGCTCTGCCACAAACGCCTCTCAACACGGCTGCTGCTTACCAAGGGCCTCGCGGCACAGGAACTCGCTGGAAGTCCTCGGAGCCAACACCATCCACCCCGCGTCCCGAGGTCGGAGACATTCCCAGTCCTGCGTTCGAGCCTTTGAGTCCACCATTGGCACCTGCAGATCTTCCAAGTTCTTTGACTGGTCGGCAACCCTCGAGAAAACGCCAGTCATCTAAAGAAGTAGAGAAGACTGACACAGCTGCACCCAAGCGCGGACGACCACTGCGAAGTGCGCAGAAAGCGCGTGAGTCCACCGCAGAAGCACATCGCACGCGTAGCCCGTCAGCCGACGAAGCATCTACTATCATTAAGGATGAAGAAGCTACCCCTCGGCCACATGATGAGCTCCGCGACCTACCAGTGAAAGAGGCACCATCGCACGGACGCCGCAGGGCGACACCTGGTGGTGTCTCGTCCAGGGCCCAGAAGCGCAAACGGGCCGAGTCAGAAGTGCCTGCTGAGCCAAGTCTTATTTCTGCTCCACCAACTCATGTCTTGTGGACCAAGGGCTTCCCGAGAATCAGTGCCTCAGCCCTTGACCAGATCGGCAGTCACCGGCATGCCAACATGTTCGCAAACAAGATTCGAGATCGCGATGCTCCCGGTTATAGCGCAATCGTGCGGCGTTCCGTGGATCTCAAATCGATACGCATGGCCATCAACCACGGCAACAAGGCTGCCGTCAGTGCAGCGGCAGCCCTGCCTGAAGACGATAGCGGTGGCAGTAGTGTCTGGCTACCGATTAGCGAGGACATTGTTCCTCCGCGAGGTATCATCAACAGCAGCCAGCTGGAATGTGAACTGGTGCACATGTTCTCCAACGCGATCATGTACAACCCTGACTCGAATCGCGGCCCTGGTCCGGCCTTCATGGTCGCCGAGCCAACAGGGGAAGACACAGGCGAGGGTGATGCCAGCGTTCTTGGCTATAAGGTAGACGAGGATGGCGTGGTCAACGATACGCGCGCCATGTATGTTGAGGTAGAGAAGCTTCTTAGTGATATGCGAGCTGCCGAGAAACAGCGTGGCGTCCCACCTTTGCCAGCAGGGGCCGCCGGGATTACGAGGCAGGAGAGCGTTGCGATTGGCGACGATCCAGCTGCGACCGAAGACGATGGCGAAGCTGCGACACCGGCAGCAGATACCGATGGCGGTGGCACGATCAAGAAGCGCAGGATTACTCGGGGATGAGGTTGAAATAGGTTCGCTTCGCTGTTGAGCGTCGTCTCTGCGTCCGCCTTTATAGGGCGCTTAGCGAAGGATAGAGCATTACCTAGCATTGAGTTTAGATGCATGCTTCTGTATTGCTTTGCAGTTTGTACGATCATTCTTAGGGGAGTCGATGATAATTGATACCACCCTGCTTCGTACCATTAAATGATGCATGTGCTGTGCCATACTGTCTCAGTGTCAGTGGGTTTTGGCATAGAGTGAGATAAGATAGTGAGGGCGGTGTCGCAAGGCGAGATGTGAACTGATAGGAAAATCCCCCAAATTTATTATTTTTTGGCGCGGCATTGGTGATACCCAAGTAGCTTGTACCGACTCCAGAGCATACGCCTTCTAGAAGCACCTTTTTCTCACGCTCAGAGGGGTCGCAAAGATGTACGCGCGATACATCCCTCCGGCGAAGGAACCGAGTAGGAGTAAGCCGACTTCAGATCCTGTCGCTTTCTCACCTTCGGCCGTCGCAGTGCCGCCTCCCAGCTCCGCGACACCCTACGCGCGATACATTCCCCCACCCAAACCGAAGGCAGAGCCTTCTACGCTCAAGAGGAAGATCGTTTTCGACTATGAGGATGTTCCTGTAGCTGAAACTACGTCGAAGAAGCGCTCGAAGCGAGATCAGACGGAATTGGCAAAGACAGACGGAGATTTGATCAACAGTCCTGATGAAGCATCAGACTCTGTCACTCCGGGGAGCTCCAGGAAGAGCGAGGAGGCGATTACGCGTGGTGAAAACTCTACCAGTCTCTCAACAGAACCGAGCAAACATGTCACATCTTTACAAGAATCGCCAGCAGAGAATGGGAGCACGGCAGCATTACAATCCAAATCTAAGTCGAAGGACAAGAAGGCCAAAGCCAGTACTGGCAATACTGTGCATGACGAAACTGATGCGGTAGAAGGCCGTTACAAGGCGGTCTTAGCGAAGAAGGAGAAGTCGTTGACACGGACGAGAAATCTCGATGAAGCGGCCACTCACTCAGCGGTAGAAGGGGCAGATTCTGCTCTCGACTCGACCTTGGTGGCTGAACCAGTCGAAGCCAAAGGCCTCGAACCCCTCCCACAACCAGAGCCGATACCTATTGACAGATCGAAGCCATCATACGAAACCCTGCCGCCATGGCTGGCTGAGCCCATTCGAGTTTCTCCAGAGACTCGAGCGCCCTTTTCATCGTTAGGCGTCGACCCAGAACACGGAATACCGCCGCTCGTTGAGAAGGCTCTGCGTGAGAAGGGATGGACAGACGCGTTCGCCGTCCAGACAGCCGTCATCCCGCTATTATTGCCAGGGTGTGGACGGCAAGGAGATTTGGTGATCTCCGCCGCCACAGGATCCGGCAAGACCTTGGCATACGTTCTTCCAATGATGCGCGACCTGAGTCGGGCATTGACTACGAAATTGCGCGGACTGATTGTTGTCCCTACAAGAGAACTTGTCCAGCAAGCCAAGGAGGTCTGCGAGGCCTGCGCCACGGCGTTTGCGACATCCAACAGGCGCCGCGTAAAGGTTGGTGTAGCCATGGGCAGCCAGTCTCTAGAGAAGGAACAGTCTTCGATCATGGAAGAATATCAAAGATACGACCCCTTGGGTTACCAGCGGTATTGCGAAGCGCGGGCAAGATGGCCTTTTGGTGACGATTCATACCTGGCCAAGGACGCCACTCGGCACTCGACCAGACCATTGCCAGAACATGTTGTTGAGCATATACCCAAAGTTGACGTCTTGATCTGCACTCCAGGTCGTCTAGTCGAGCACATCAAGTCGACTCCCGGGTTCAGTCTCGACTTTGTTCGATGGCTTGTCATTGACGAAGCGGACAAGCTATTAGGTCAGAGCTTCCAGCAATGGCTCGAAGTGGTGATGGAGAAGCTAGGCGACCCCAAGCATACCGGCCTGCGAGAGTTTGCCGACTCCAACAAGAATGGAGTTCGAAAAGTTGTGCTCAGCGCCACAATGACCAAGGATCTCAGCTTGCTCAACGGCTTGCGGCTGAGTAGACCGAAACATATCGTTCTGGAAGGTACGAAGACGGAAGAAGCTGGCGACTTCGTCTTACCAGACCTCCTCGAAGAATTCGGCCTGAAGATCCGGGAGGAATCTCAAAAGCCACTGTACCTGGTTGAGCTTCTTAACAGCAAGTACTTGGGTGGCACTGGCAATGTACAAGCCAGAAGATCTAGGGCTGCAGAGGAGGACTCCGAAACCTCGTCTGACGAGAGCGATTCAGAGACTAGCTCGACCTCTTCAGAGTCGGACTCTGGAAGTGAGACGAGCTCTGCATCATCATCTTCAGAATCTGAAGAGGACTCCGATGAAGAGCTTGAGACGCCCTCAGAGACAAAGGCTCGCTCATCTGGCCGAATCGAATTCAGCACCACGGTACTGGTCTTCACCAAGTCGAATGAAAGCGCGCTCCGTTTATCAAGACTTATCGGCATACTTGCACCTCAGTTCAGCTCGATAGTTGGCACCCTTACATCCACGATCCGGACCTCGGAACGGCGAAAGATCCTACGGTCGTTCGCTGCTAACAAGCTGCGCATCCTCATAGCTTCCGACATTGCCTCGAGAGGTCTCGACCTGCCGCACCTCGACCACGTCGTGAACTATGACATGCCCACGAGCGTCGCATCTTACGTGCACCGCGTGGGTCGGACGGCGCGCGCCGGGCGATCCGGCAAAGCATGGACTCTGTTCACCAAAAAAGAGGCCGGTTGGTTCTGGCCGGAGGTGGCAGGGCAAGGGAAGAAGGGCAGGGGATCCGGCGGTACGGTCAAACGGTCAAATAAGGTGGAGCAGATCGTCCTCGGAGGTGGCGGCGATGGCGATGGCAAGTCGGGGTCCGGCGGCAGATTTAGTGAAGAGCGCATTGAAGAGTACGAAGCGGCTTTGGAGAAGCTGGGACAAGAGGCGGCGGAGGGCCGCCGGAAGGGCAAGACGGCTGCTACTTCTAGCTGAGATATGAAAGATTAATAAATTAGAATAAAGTGGAATACCCAATATTGGCTGATTCTTTGAGCATCAAATATCACAAAGCCATGATAACCCCTGAGAAACGGCGTTGTATCCAAGTGCGATTTTAAGTGGGGCGTGCACTGTCTCAGGACAACATCGCCATTTACGGCGCGTACCGTAGTTCTGGATCGGCGTCATGAACTCTGGTTAGAGCTGTTCGCAGACAAATGAAAAGGACTCTAAACTACGACACGACAGAAATGACCAGAGACTAATACAGTCTATGGCTTGTCGCTCGGCCGTCTTCCACACATCGCAGGCGGCCCGACTGGCCCCAAGGCGGGAGCAAGCATGACGCGGACGTACAACATCGCCATGGTCAGCGATTTCTTCTTCCCCCAACCCGGCGGCGTCGAAAGTCACATCTACCAGCTGTCAAGCAAACTGATCGACCGTGGCCACAAAGTCATCATCATCACACACAATTACGAGGGCCGGACAGGCGTACGCTACCTGACCAACGGGCTCAAAGTCTACCATGTCCCTTTCTTCGTCATCTACCGCTCCACCACGTTCCCTACTGTCTTCTCCTTCTTCCCCATCTTCCGCAACATAGTCATCCGCGAGCGCATAGAAATCGTGCACGGCCATGGTAGCTTGAGCAACCTGGGACACGAGGCGATTCTGCATGCCCGTGCTATGGGCTTGCGAACCGTCTTTACGGACCACTCGCTGTTTGGGTTCGCCGACGCTACGAGCATTCTGACCAACAAGCTCTTGAAATTTGTGCTGAGCGACGTGGATCATGTTATCTGTGTCAGCCATACATGGTAAGATGCCTGGTTTCTTCTCATTGGTATGCTGTTACTGATACGCTCTTCCAGCAAGGAGAACACCGTGTTGAGGGCTTCTCTTGACCCCCTTATGGTCTCCGTCATCCCTAATGCAGTCGTGGCCGAGAATTTCCGGCCACTCAACTACGTGGAACCATCACCAGCGCCGCCACTGGGGGAGACCAATGGGCACCCCTTCGGCACTGCACCGGCGGCGGTCCCGCATCACCAACTGGGACCGCACGACCCCATCACCATTGTCGTCATCTCCCGCCTCTTCCAGAACAAAGGCACCGACCTGTTGACGGCGGCCATCCCGCGCATCTTGGAGAATCACACCAATACGCGGTTTATCATTGCTGGCGACGGGCCCAAGGGCATCGATCTGGAGCAAATGATCGAGCAGAACGTCCTCCAGGACCGCGTCGAGATGATCGGGCCCGTGCGCCACGAGGAGGTCCGCGACGTCATGGTCCGCGGCCACATCTACCTGCACCCTTCGCTGACCGAGGCCTTTGGCACGGTCATCGTCGAGGCCGCCAGCTGCGGCCTTTACGTCGTGTGCACCCAAGTCGGCGGCATCCCCGAGGTCCTACCCTCGCACATGACCGTCTTTGCGCGGCCGGAGGAGGACGACATCGTCGCGGCGACGGGCCGCGCCATCGCCGCCCTGCGCGCGGGCCGCGTCCGCACCGACAAGTTCCACGAGCAGGTCAAGAACATGTACTCGTGGACCAACGTGGCCAAGCGCACCGAGCGCGTCTACCACGGCATCTCGGGCGCCATCGGCGAGGCCGAGTTCTACGGCTACGAGATCGCCGGGGCGGCGCCCGCGGGCGGCCAGGCGCGGTCGGGCGTCCGGAGCTTCGCGCTCATCGACCGCCTCAAGCGGTACTACGGCTGCGGCGAGTGGGCGGGCAAGCTGTTTTGTCTGTGCATCGTGCTCGACTACCTCTTGTTCCTGGCCCTCGAGTTCTGGTACCCGCGCGCCGACATCGACATCTGCCGCGACTGGCCACGGAAGGCTGTGGAGAACGGGGGCAGGGACAGCAGCAAGGATGGCGGCAAGGATGGCGTCAAGTGAGGCGGACAGACTCACTTGGCCATGACTGCTGTCTCATGGTGTCGTATGTTTTAGGTGTTGGCCATGAATGTGATAATGATACCCTGATTTACAAAGACTGAAGTGCGCGCGGCTCCCCCTAATGTGTTAAAGAGATAGCTCGTTACCTAACTGCAAATCCAACAAATCCAATCTTGCGTCATTCATAATATTCAAGGGACAAAGCCGCTGATCCTCAATGCAGATGCCATCCCGATGAGAGAGGTTGCCGGACCCTAAACATACTCTGCAGTGACAGTGTTGTACCGTTGATCTAGGATTGAAATCAGTACACTCAGCCTTATGCCCTCCACAACCCCGATTCTTATTATAACACTCACTGTTGTAAATCAACGTATATTGGGTAGAGGCTGACAGGTCTAGGAGTTGGCATATTAGCGACGAGTAACGGCATTTCGCTCAGAGCAGACACAACACTCACAGAGTGCTTCAATCTGGTATTCGAGCTCATAGTACCACTTGTTATCTGCACCAAGTGCTCGCCCGAGGAACTCCTCGGGTATGTGGCGAAGGTCGGCTGTAAGCCGGCAGAGATGAGTGACGTTGGTATCGCAGTTCATCGGTGCGACCCTGGAGGTCTCATCCACATAGATCTCGTCCGTGATCTCGCTGATCGGCCCAAGGCTCGTCAGGCTTCGGCACCTCATCGTCGTGGTAAACGGCTCGTTCTCGGATACGACGTCTCCCTGAGAAAACAATTCGTTAGCCACCACTGATCATACGCACACATGAAGTCTCCTTGCAGTTGTTTACCCTCGTTATGAACCAGTCCATGACGCGTACCATGTAGTATCCCTCAAAGCTGGACCAAAAGCTCTCTCCTCTCAGATGGGCGTGACGCTCTGGGTCATACATCATCCGCCACTGTCAAATCTCTGTCAGCCCGCTGGATCGAAATGTTGTTTCTTGATTTGTACCCGCCCTGTGGCCGTAATGCTTTCGAGCCCTGCGATCCCTGACCCTCACCATCGTGAGAGCGTCTGGCGCGCTTTGCGCGAGGCCCTTCATGACGGCGCCCTGCACAACTGCGAGCCAGGCGTTCGATGGCTGCAAGACCTCGATCTTCTTGCCGAGCGCATTGCGCAGACGGTCCTTGAGGTAGATGGAGGCCCCAAACCCTCCGACGAGCATCACCGCACGCATGGGCACCTTGCTCGAGCTTATCTGGTCCTTCACGAGCTTGATCACTTCGAGTATGATCGGCTCGAAGATATCTTGGAGGTCAGCGGACTGCGAGGGACGGAGGATTAGTTCTGCTCGTGAATCTCATCCCTGGGAGCGTCTGCAGGGATCGAGAAGCCCTATTGAGCACCTTGGGCAGTAAAGCGGAGGCTGGTAGGGACCTTATCGGAAGATTCACCTTCTCTGGTCGTGTTGCTGATGGGCCACGAGGTGATGGCAGTTCGACGGTCTGGCCGGTGTGTCTCGGCCCACGCAACGCCCGAGTAAGTTGTCCCAAAATCGATCCCGACGATGATCTTGCGATCGTTGATGGTGAGCTGCTCGAAATCATGGCTGCTTATCAGAGGACTGCCTTGTCTGTGCTTAAGCTCCAGTCAAGGAAGTGAAGAGTAGTAAACTCAAGGGCTTCGGCATGACAGTTTTAAATCATTTAAGACACCCAAAGGCCAGCTTTTCAAGAGCAAGTCAAAGGCAAATACACTACAACCCGTAAGTAAATTCAATGGTTGGATTGACATAGCCACAATAACCAAGGCCTCCGAGGAAGCCCGGAGACACGAAATACTACCACCGGTAGAGTACACGCATTGGGTCGCGACGGCAAGCGCGCTTGGTGGCTTATACTTGGAAGACATGTCATAGATAGGGAGCAAAATAAATATGCGTTTGTTTTGGCTGCCTTGAGAGGCTTCGTCTCTGCAGGCCATTTCTATGCCCACACCAGTAGGGGCTTGGTCAAGGAAGAGATAGTGTGGTCTGCGCGAGCAGGTTTCTGCTCTGAATATTACAACACAACAACAAAAAGTACCAAGGCACACAGTCCCCAGTCGAGCCAAGAATTTGTAGGCATCAAGCGGCATTACAAGGTAGTACTGATTCCAGCACTTTCTGGTGCTTTCCAAGGCTTGAAGGGATGTGGTTAAGAAAAGCAGCACATTTGCTGAGCTACGGAACTTGGTTGAAGTTATTAATCTACACAAAAGCTGGAACACGGCACGTTCTCAGCTTCCGATTATTAGATGCGTTGAGTTTTGCATTATGAGCTAGCCATGGATGGTCTCACGATAGCAGTCGAGGACAACGTGTCCGCCTCGTCAGCCAGAAACTCTCCGGGACCTCCACCACGCCCAGCAACGAATCACCCAGAGGTCATAGCTCCCTTCTCGATAAGTTCTGATCCTAGTGAAAGACACGATGCAGTCATCAGCAGGGAGCTCGGTGTCACTCCCGGCATGAAACGTCTTGATGTTGTCGACAAATCGACCACAAATCACTCCGATCCGGAGGGCGTTGGATCGTGTGGGCATCCGGCCCCCCTTCAACGCGCTGACGCCAAAGAGATCCATAGAAGTCGAAAGTCACAGCACGACATGGAACCCACGATGCAGAGTTTGCGTGCAGTTGATGAGGACAGTCTTCTTCGATCGCCCCGAGAGATCGACGTCGTGTGGGAGGAGCTTTACCGCGAATCCCAGCGGGCTGATCAGGCCGAAGCCAGGGTCGCGGACGTGAGAAACGAAGCGCTTGCACGTCTACAAAAGGCACATCAAGCCAACCAGCTTGCGAAACAGCGGATCGCGATGCTGCACGCAGAGGCGAATCGTCTCCACGCCGAGGCGAAGCGTCTCCAACGAGAGCTCGAAGAAGCGCAGTCTCGCGTTTTTGCACTCCAGCCTTATGGCAAAGATCTTACTCCCGAGGAGATGGGAAGAGTAGGTTGTTTGGACCCTAGATACGAAACATCAAGCTAACTTGTATAGGATTATGGTGCTTTGATCGATACTGTCTCGAATTGGGTCCAGGAGTTCATGACCCCTTTTCTTGGTGACAAGGCCTTGATGTCCAAGCTCGTCGCGGAGTCAAAGGAGCTTCCCCCGAAAAATAATAGCCTCAAGATTATTCTCGACAGGGAAGGCGACCTCGCCCACGGCTGCAGGTATGCAGATACGGACATTGATGTCGCGATTGCCATCACAATGAGATTTCTGCACCATCAAATCTTGAAGCCAGCACTATACGGAGCAGCCCACTCCGCCGTTGGGTTGCTGAATTTGATGGAGAAATCCATGCAAACAAATCTGAATCCCAAAAGAGGTACTGACTCGCGATTTCAAACAATATGATCAAAAGTGCTGACATTCTGAAGACGCCTTGTACATCCGAGTCTGGCGTGCCGAGGCATACAACGCCCTTCTCTCTTCTCGCGACTTCTCGGCAGTGCGCGAGAAGGTTGTCATCCAGCATACTAGACATCTAGCAACAATCTTTAGTTTGTTTGCAATGGGTAGAGATTGGGAGTCGTTCTGCAACAACTTTGAGGCGAATTGCATTCGACCCGCCATTCTGCTCCGCGAGAAATCACTCATCTCGACGCACCACTTCTACTTCAGCCTCGACATCTATACAATGGAGAATAGCTCTCAGCCAAGAAGTTCCCTGGTTGCATTTCTGTCTGACATTCACGGTATCCATTGCGCAAACCTCCTTCAGAACCGGAAGGTCTTCAACATGAGCAAGCTGGACCCGGATACAACCATAGAGGAGATCCAGCAGAACCTGGTCTATGTAATGACGCTCACGCCTGGCCTGTACATGCGCAAGGTACGGAAAGGGGACTCGATTCATTCACCCATGATTGTGCACAAACCACAGATGCTTGCTGCATGGGGACCTCCCGAGGCACGGAGGGAGGCCATGGATAATACAGAGCCTACGCTGATGGAGAAATTACATGCTGGCGAAGTCTCGAGGCCACAGCCAGCTTAGAGGCCTTGTGCAAGTCGATGGAAATGGTGAAGTTCTGAAGAAGTGGTCGGTTTCAATTGAAAGGCCTGATCGTGCAGCTCATGATGTTGATTGATTCACATGTATCCAACGGAAGGAACAAACAAGTTGAATGTCTTTCAACCACTTGCCTGTGTGACCCATTGCTCTTCTACCAAATTATGTGAAACCGCTTCTCTCATTTCTTCGGAAATATTCTACGGAACGCCGCAAAACAGGTTGATAACAGACAATGACATGGATACCATGTATCACTCCCGCCCCCTCTGCGTTGGTATCGAACACAACATGAACGGAGTCTAGGAAACACTGCCACATTTAATCTTCATGAACTCCCGCATATTTTCTCGCATGATACGAAGCTACGTGCTGACAATGGCCCCGTTCGGCGGGGAACAAGGCTCGTCCTTGAAGAATACGGAGGTCCCCCTACTGGGCATGGGGCAAGGACGAGGGACTTTCGGCACTCTGCTCTGTTTGTTTATTTGTCCCTACGATGGATGTCAGAACAGAAGCATCCCAAGGTGTTTTTCAGTATCTGCCGCATCCAGTATTGTGCAGTACAAATGGCCAGACGACTACTGGTCTAAGTCTATAAAAAAGAAGAAGAAAAAAAGAAAAAGGATGGAGAGAAGAAGAAGGAGGAGGAGAAGGAGGAGGAGGAGGAGGAGGAGGAGAAGAAGAAGAACAACCCCCCTCACACCTTCGTGCCTAGATATCCTCCTCGGTCGGAGGGGAAATGTCTTCTGCAAAGAGAACCATGGCGTTGAGATCGGCTACAGAAGCAGCCTGGAGTTTTTTTTATTTTTTTAACTCCATCTGCTCCCAGCTTTGCCAGCAGATTCTCCATGATGTAGTGGCAGGCGGGAGAAATGGAAAACTGACGTTGATGGTGGGAGAAAACGGTATCACAGAGCTGGATACTCGCTGCATCCTCTTTGACCAGATTCGAGCTTTCTGCTAATCAAGCTATATCTCTCTGAACCACCCTCTCCTGACGTCCAGCCATATTCACTTCTGGCAGCGCCTTCTGGAATCCTTAACGAGCCAGGAATGCCTATCCCTTCTGTATCAGTGTCAAGGAGTGGATTCTCTGATAGAGTAGGTTCCCAATCTATTATTTTTCTGAATCTATCTCGATCTTAACAAGTCACATCCTTGCCCTGGAACTCGGAAGGGCTATCCCACTACCTAAATCTGATGGGCTTGGAGACAAGTAGCAGTCCGTCACTTGAGGCGGTGAGTTAGCGCGGGTCCACCTGAAAAATGGGCAGAAATTAGCAAATATTACCACCAGTAGTCAAAAATTTGCGCTTCCAATTTCCTGTTCTTCTGCATCTCTGCTTTCTCCCAACCTGCCACGCACGACCCGAGAACTCTGCAACCCAGAACCAGAACGTTGGTGCACGATGATTACGATGGTCTTCTGAATACTGAGAGCTCCAAGGGGGATGGTTCTCTCCCAACCGCTCCTTCTTCGCAATGCGTCTCTTCCTCGTCCGTCACGGTGAATCCGTCGACAATGTTGCTGGGCTCTAGTAGGTCTCCTCGATGGCTCCACGTCGTCATCGTGGTCATCGAACGCCCGAGCTGACGAACATGCTCCTCGCAGCGCAGGATCGCGTGATTCACCGCTGACGTCGCATGGCGTGCTCCAGGCCAAGCGCCTCGGCTCCCACCTGGCAGGCCGTGTCGACTCGATCGGTCCCGTCACGCACGTCTTCTCCTCAGACCTGCAGCGCGCGTCTATGACAGCTCAGGCCGTTTTAGATGCACAGAAGGAGCTGGCTTCTGCTGCACGAGTCCCGGAGACTGTCGTCAGGCTAGCGGAACTCCGCGAGCGTGACTTCCGCTCCTCTGAGGGCACAAAGTTCGGAGTCAGGGTCGATACTGGTGCTGGCGGAAGCAGACATGCGGATGCCGAAACGTCAGACGAGATGCAGGTCCGGATCCATCGGTTCCTATCGGAACACCTTGTGCCTGTCCTGGAACAGACTCCCTCCGACGTGACGGGTGAGAGATCTGTCGTCGTCGTGGCTCACGGCATCATCCTCAATGTCCTGCTCAGGGCTCTGTTGTCGAGGTTTTCTCCGTTGGAACTACTCAAGTTGTCGGACCCCAAAGGTACGGGTACTTCTGTGAGGACAGAGTACCTGGCATCTTGGAGCAACACGGGGTATCTTGAGGCCAGCATTCAGCAGCCAGTCCCGATTGAGGATCTCCCCTTCACCGCCTCGGACGTTGGTGGCTTTGTGCCTCTCCCCGACAGCAATCCTTCTGATTGCCAGATCAGGACGAAGCTAAGATTGACCGTCGGAAAGGTCAACTGTCTCGAACACATCCAAGGGTTGAAGAAGACCCGCGGTGGGATTGGCAGTGCCAAATTTGATGGCAAACAGAAAACGATGGATTCTTTCTTTGCCTCTGCCTCGAAAAAGCGGAAGCCGGATGATGATACTAGATGACTGTCCCGGTACGTTCGACTGTGGTAGATTTCGTCGCCCTAGGCCGCGACGACCTCTACTTTATTCTCAAAGGTATGCTCAACTTTTCCATTTGTCGTCACATGCCCCCTCTACTGCTTTATGATGATACCACAATATTCACAGACCTGTTCTGAAACAAAATGTGGAAATACTTGTCCAACCGCTATCTGACTTTTGCATTTCATACTCTGGTTTCTTATTATTCGCTCATATTGTGATGACAATACGCTGACTGGAGATATCAGGTACACTAGCTGCTGGTTCAATGTGGTATGACTAGTGTCGTGAACCAAAACTTGGGGCATCTTCTTGGTGACATTTTGACGCAGGTCTGAAGGTAAGTCCGTAAGACACGGGTTCATGCAGAGCATGCAGCATGCAAGCATTCATGCCGTCAGTTTCGACGTAGTAATACAATTTGCATAAATATCATGACATTGAAATACATGACTGTCTTTTCTTATTCACACAAGTCTACGAGGTGCTGCAATTGTGATCATTGACAGTCGATGCCAGAGTACCTCGACGAATTCTCTGAACTCCTGACCTCAAGCCTCTTCAGAGGATCCCTGCTCCTCGGCTTCTGAGGGCAGAACCCGAGGGAACCATCCATATTCTGAGAAGTCCACCGTGAGCTCCCCCAGAGCCCCAGCCGTCACTTCAACCCCCTCAGCTCTCAGCGCTGCTGCCTGGTTCAGTGAACCTGATGGCTGGGACCTGTATTACCAGGTCAGTCTCGGCGATGATCAAAGTCAACTTGGGTCTGATGAGTAGCAAAAAGACACCCACCTCGGTGATATGACGCCCTTGGAGTTGATGACCCGCTGCCAGGGCACATTGGAATTGTTGAAACGGGCTCCCGGGTCTTCTGACAAGTGCTTCAGGCACACCCCGACCTGCCGGGGTCGCTGCGCTATATCGTACGTCAGACCGATCTGCCTCCGTCATCATGTGGAAGTGGGCGATGAATTTCTCGACTCACGGGTACCTATGAGTTCGGCGATGTGCCCGTAGCTAGTCACCTTGCCGTGCGGGATCTCTTGCACGGCCATGTAGACTGCGGTGAAGAAGGCGGCCGCTTCGTCCGAGCGAGGCATGGGGTTAACACGCAGGCCCAAATGGCTTCTGGCAGAGCTTGGAACGTGTATCTTGGCTTCCCCTGCGTTGGGGGTCAAAGTGCTTCGGTCAACAATGCATTGTTTGGGCTGCTGAGGTTTGCTTGCAGGTCGCCACGCTAGGCTTGGTATTGGAGTGGGAGTGAGGTCGGTGATGCAATTAGTGGGGCAATGAAGTTGCATACACAGTACATGAGGCTTTGCTGCAATACTTGAACCAAGACAACACAGATCACTGCCGTATAAGATATATTGACTGCATCGGACAAGCATGTAGAAATTACATGGCATACTAGATACAGGCTTCAATCAGAGTACACGGCCATGCCTATAGAACGACAAGGCGGGCAGACCAACAGACTCTAAAGGAGAACAGAATGATGTCTAGGCTTTTAACCATGGGACATTGGTCACCTACCACGGCCTCGCCAGCCTCTTCCACCCCTCCCTCTGCCACCTCCCCGACCGCCCCTACGATCTCCATCACGTTCGCTCCTGAGCCCACGGCCATGCGATGCCGGCGGTCCTCGCTTCTTCCTCTCCAGCCTCTCTGCCTCGCTGGCTGCCCACACGTTCTCCACCCCGACAAGTGCACAGAACGCCTCGGTCTGCGGGTTCGTGTACTCGTCGGGCTGGTGATGTACCATCTCGGGCTGTCCAGCTTCATGTACCGGAGCCGTGATGGTGAAGTTGTCGGGTACATCTAGCTTTCCAGGCGCCACCACGTGCTCCTCGACCCATTGCCGTTCTCGTTCTATCAGGGGCGCATAGTGAGCCTCGCCGAGGTCGGGCGATGACTGTGCCGACCTATCGCCGATGACGATATCCTTGGCGAAGACGCGAGTGATGGCGAGCCACTCCGGGTCGTACTGCAGCCTGTAGCGCGGCGTCGTGGACTGGGGCGGGTGTGCCTCGCTATTTGACGGGTCCAGGGGAGGAACCTCGCATAGCTGCAGGAAATGCCTGCCTGGTTCGCACTTGTCCAGGGCGAGGAAGCGGGTGACTGTGTTTGTGATTGTCGGTGGGACGGGCTGGCCGGGTGTCATTTTTGGTTTGCGGACTTGTTGTTGCGGCGGAGGTTTTGAGAAGGACTCTGGTAGCTGTGCGAGCAGCTCGGCCGAGACGCCTTCCACACTGGATTCTGCGCCTGCTGGGTCTTCCTTGTTACTGTTATCCGGGGCAGTGGTAGCGGGTTCCTCATCCTCATCGTCGAGATCAAGGTCGATCTCGTCAGGGTTGGGCTGTCCGTCTGCAACAGGAGCCGGAAGAACCTGACTCGGCTCGTTTGGCTGTGGTTCTGTTGACGCAGCAGTATCTCCGGGCCCAGGCGCTGCCGTGGGCGGGTCGTATTTCTTCACCGCAGAGAATTTGACGTGCATATGCGCGGAAAACCAGTAGGCGGGCCTCAGACGGTCCATCACATACTCTGCCGCGGGGTTCCCCAGCGTGCCGTCCAACGACTCTTGCTTGAAGAAGGGCTTGATGCGGAATAGCTGCCCTTCGTCGCCATGCCTCTCGACCGCTCGCGGCCAGTCGTGGCTGATCCCCACGTCGACCTGCGTCTTGAGTTGCAAAAGTTTCCGCACATCAATCTCGCGTACGTGGTAGAAGCTCTTTATGTCGTCCTGGCTGAATGGCAGGCGCTCGTGGTGCGTCTTCCTGTAGTCGAATCCTTTCCAGATGCCGCTCATGCCAGCAATGCGCAGGGGACCCAGACGCAAGACGTTGGCGGCGCCCATGTAGTAGATGTTTGGCGCGACCCAGCCGCCGTAGTAGAGTTCCCAAAGATAGGATGAGGCCTCATGGTTTCCAGCCACGAAGATTGTGAGGTACGGTGCCTTGCGAGCGCCTGAGTAGTACTCGTGGAAGTCTCCCAGTTTTCGATACTTGACCGGGACGGACATGACAGTCAGATCGGCGGGATTCCGCACAGCTTGAAAATCTCCCCCGATGATGAGAACGTCCACACCATCCCATCCTCGAGCTTTGCTCGAAGCTTCAACCGCTGCATAGATGGCATGGAGCGTGCCGTGCCCCTGAGCGATTGTAAAGTCAGTGGCATGCGGATTGTTGAGGAAGCGTGAAAACTTACACAGCCTTCAACGGCTACTCTCACGCCCTGAGCCGTGAAGGTACCGCTCTCCATCTCGGGAGAGCTCAGCTTATGCTATGACGAAACACGTTGAAGTCAAGGAGGTGCTAAAAGTTTTGGTGTGTATGGAAGAAGCGGCACTGATTGAAGTGAGTGTTTTGTGTATCGGACGTGGTTTTATGAAAGAAAGCGGCATCGATGAGTTGTAGGCAACAAGTTTTAGTTAGTCACACGGTGGTGGGTGAGCATAAAGTGCGGGTCGAAGCTCTGGCAAGTCTCACCTGCTAAAATTTAGCCGTGAACACCTCAACACACTGCTCAAGCGCACTGAAGAAAAGTACCTCCCTTGTTTGAACTACCTTATCCACTGCAAATTCTCACGGTTGCTTGAAACTTTCCCCAGGGAGTGAAGTCAGCGTTCGAGGCAGGAAATGCCAGTTCCATACCGCGATACTGTCAACTTGCAAAAGTCTCGCCGGCTTACAATCGATGATGGCCAATCTAGAGACGATGCCAAGCTGCCCAATTTTAGACTTTGTAGGACAACTATCAGCCGCACGAGGCGTTCCTCTCGCCTTAAATCATGCTCGTAATGGGATAGACACGGATGATGTTGCGCTGGGGCTAATCTCACTTGATTCTACTTCCCGGCTTGATGAATTAAAAGCCCGTACCATTGGCGAGATACTACACATTCTCGACTTGGACGTAGAGACTGTCACCGTGACGCCAGACAGGATGAGGGAGTTCACCCTGAGCTACCAATGGCTCTCCTGGCGGCCCTCAAAAGCCGCTCCACCCCTTCTACCTCGCGGTATCGAGCGCCGCTTCATCAGCACACCCGCCGGGGACCTCGAGGTTCTCTGTGCAGGCCCTGCGCAGAAGGGCGCCGCCGAGGGCAAGCGCAAGCCGGCCCTCTTCTTCATACACGGCGGCATGGGCGGCGCCTGGGTCTGGCTCGAGTACATGCAGTACTTTGCGGCGCAGGGCATCCCCTGCTACGCGCTCTCGCTGCGAGGGCACGGCCAGAGCTGGCAGCCGTCGTACCTGCGGATGGTATACGGGACCGGCAGGCAGGCCATGGTGGACGACCTGGTGGCGGGCATCGGGTACGCCGAGGCGCAGGAATGGGGGCGGGAAGTCGTGCTGGTCGGACACTCTACCGGCGGCGCGCTGGCGCAGTACGTGCTGTCTGAGCGGCTTGTCAGAGTGCGTGCGTTGGCTTTACTGGGGGCTGTCCCCGGGACTGGATCGTGAGTCGCCGCCCTCCTGCGGTTGCGATTCGCACAGTGACTCCAGCTCTTGCTGACACGCTTTCCGTAGACTTGAGGTTTACCTTTCGTGGTGGTGGTTAGACCCCTGGTTTCTCCTCCGGATGATCTTCCACGGTGGACATCCCAACTCGCCGCTCTCGCACCCGGCACTCACAAAGGCCGTATTCTTTAGCCCGGATGTCTCAGATGACTATGTGACTAGCTTCCAGCAGCGGATGTGCCCGTATGAAAGCTACGGCTGGGCTACCGCTTTCATGAGGCCTTCATCGAATCTCGAATTCGTCCTGAGCCAGATCAGTGGTTGGGGTCAAGCCGGACAGCAGCAGCGACTACTCGTCATGACTGGCGGTGGTGATAGGATCACGACGGTGCCCATTGAGAGGAAGCTTGCCGGCCGGTACCGAGATGCTTTTGCTGCTCTAGTACAGGCGAAGAAGATTGACGCTGAGGAGTCTCCTCTGGCCAAGCTGGAAGGTCGACTGAGACTTGATGAAGCCGGCAACGGAGTGAGGTTCAACTGTGTACCCATTGCCGGCCACCACCTGCAGAATGATGCTCAGTGGGAGGTTGGCGCTGCCAAGCTGCTTGCGTTCTATGAACAGCTTTAAGGACCACCCGCCCTGTCTCGACCGAGGGTTATGTTGGTGTCGCCTTTTGTTTCCGCATGATGATATCCTACCATACCCCACTCACTTGCAGATGGCTCTTGTAGTAATAATCTGAGCGTAATCCACACTCCTCCACGTACGACCATAAGTGGCAGAGAACTCGGGATCCCGTCCGCTCTCCCCTTGATAAGCTGCCAACTGCCGGACTAGTAGTTGGGTCGGTGACGACCAGCGAATCCCTGGTGTTGTACGTTCTCTTTTTGCTTCGTTTTCCTTCATTGCCATCTCGTGTCTCCGATGTGAAATGGATATTTCAAGCAGAAGCGCAGCAAAGTACAAGCTGTGTCTCGTACGTTCTACCATCGCCATAGAAAGGCCATCACATCGAATCGAGTCATCGCAATTGCAGAGAATGTCGAAGTCATGTTCACTCTTGGCCATTGCAACTTGAAGATTCCCTTTGCAACCACCATCGAAAACCAAAATAACTTTTCTGACGACCGTAAGACTACATCAAACACGCCACGTTCCGGCTACTATGCATCTCGGAGGCTCCCACCTTGACCCGAGTCTTTGGGCCAACCCACATGTACGCCTCGACGATCCACTCATACCACACCTTCGTGTCGTCAGTCTGCCGCCACATGCTGACTTCCAGCTCGCTGTCGGGAGGGAAGTAGAGGGGTTTCTGCGTTCGTGATTAGCCGGGGAAACCGATGAACTCATGAGAAACGATCGTTACTTACCTTCAAGGGGAAGAAGATAGGGAACCAGGAGATCATATCCTTGCTCTTCTTGTCGATCTGCTCAGGCAGCGTGCTGATCTCGACCAGCTCCTTGTCTGGCATTTGCGGCTTGTACAAGACAGATTCAAAGTAGCCAGCCAGACCATGGATGACACCTCGGGATCGGCAGACGAACGTCAGATGGCACTGCCTAGCATTGTGTTCGTTCAGACCAGCCGAGAGATTCATGGCACCGCCGCCACCGCGCTGCACCTTGCGTCGCCCATGGCCCTCCTCCCAGGTCTCTACAAACGGCAGGCGGACGGGGTGCACAAACTCCCACGCCTGTTGGAAGCGGTGATGCCCTGGGGCTTTCTGGCAGACAAAGTCAATGGCAAACAGAAGAACGACCCAGGGCGTCTCAAATGCGTTCGGGTCGCCGACAATCCTGCTGCTGAGGTCCGCGTAGATCTTGGGGTAGGAGATGGGACTGAGATGGGCGGTGTAGGAGTGGGGGATGGATAGACCGTGAGGCCGGGCCAGGTGCCTCTGAATTCCGTCGAGGCATTCTGGAGAAAGCTCATTGTCGGCAAACGACCCAAGTAGCTCGGTCACAAGAATGTCCACGGGAGTGGTGCGATCTGTATGTCCTCGAGCGACCGGCCCGTTCCACTCCCGCATGTCGGTCTGGATGACGTTGACCTTACCACCCCAGACCTGTTTATTCTGCCGCAGCAGATAGACGTACGCATTCTGGTTCTTCTCGAGAGCCCAGAGCTGGATAGGCATGCCAGTCTTCTCACTCGCGCGCAGTACTCGCGTGACAAGCGGGCCACGACCGGCACCAGCCACGGCCACGATGAGCTCTTGTTGAGGGGCACCGTCTTGCTGGAGGGAGGATGTGGGCTTCCCCAGCGCCTTCCACTCCGCCATTGCCTCGGTGATGGCCTTCTCGTACTGGTCGTACTTGACCGGGTCACCTTCGAAAGTCTCGTAGGTCGATGATTCGAGGTTGTCTGCCAGGGGTTGAAGCGGGGACTGAAGCCAGTCCTGGAAGCTGGTCAGTGCAGGGCTCTCCAGAGCGGTGTGTGGAGGCTGCTGCCGTTCAAGGTATCGCATGTAAGACACATGCGCATTCATCCGGCTCTGCGGCTGCTCCTGGATAGACTGTGCCTCGGCGAGCGTAGGGAAGTCAGTAGTCGAAGCGGTGCCACCAACAATCTTGCTCAGTTCGTCTTGGGATGGGCCCACGTCGTAGAGAATCATCCAGGGTGCTTGTTTGAGTCTCATATACATGTTGATCATCTCCTGGTGGTAGCGTGTCAGGGATGGAAAGCCAGCACCGTTGGTTTGGAAAGTGTTTGGTCCGAGGGTTAGATAATGAAGCGGCTCCGCAAACCAACGAGTCTGCAATTCTCGTTCAGGGAGCCGTCGAGGAATTCGAACAGCTGTTGTCTCTAGTTAGGCGTCGTGGGAGCTTGACAAGCCGAAACTCAAGAGAGGCGACAGTACTTACCCACGTACAACCTAATGTTGTAGTCGCACACGGTACGAATGGTGTGCCAGCTATCCCATGCACTGAAGATGTCGATCTCGCCTTCAGAGATCTCTTCCTGGATGTCACGGCCGGAGAACAATGGCTCCTTCTCTTCCAGACCAGGCTCTCGATACATGGGCATGTGAATGATGAGGTTGATCCTTGTCGCAATCAGAAAAGTCTCCTGGATCGCTCGAGCATACTGAGAGATCTGCCAGCCACTCTCGTCTCTCCTTGGCCCTGGGACAATGACACTGCGGACGCCACAGAAGTTGGCATAGGCGACTTCCAGGTTGAGAACCTGACGAGAGATGCTTGCCACTACTGGATCTTCTGAGCAAAGATCGATCCAGGGGCTTGAATAAGCTACACTGGTAGAGCTGTCATCTCCAGGGAAAAGCGCCGTGTCCTTGTCGGTAAGGGTCGGAACGATGGGGCCTGGCAGTGAGGGATTGGATTTCTCCTCCTCGGACAGGCCATGATTGTTAGCTTCAGAGAGATAGGAACGCCAAAGGCTGACCACACGCTCCCGGAAATGGCTGTTTGTGATGGGACTGGTGACAAAATGAAACTGTTCGTTGATCAATAGGTCAGTACAGTCAAAAATCGTTCATACTATGAGTTGTGTTAGAACTTACGCCGGCAGTGAGAACCTGATTATACTGATCGTCGTTCAGTGGGACGAGCCGCTCAGAGTCATGTTGGCCGATGTAGAAGCTTGGCCGCGTTTCATTGAAGTCCTCTGAGGCAGGATCCAACATATTGCTGGGGGCCATGGCTTAGGGTGTAGGAAGATGAGGCAGACGTGGACAATGCTTGAGTGGCAGACAGGCTGTGCTGTGTTCAAGGTTGCTTGAGGAGACACTCCTAACTGGAGGTGACTGCCCTCAATTGTTTGGTGGCGAGTCTCCCAAACAATGATTGTTTGTCTGTCAAGCCTGAGGAAGCAGGCCTGGTACCACAGAGCTGCTTGAGCGGGAGGTAGGCACGACCTATACGCAATATTCTGTTTTTGGACCAACACAGCTTGAGGAATATTGGTGAATTTGCTCGGTGTGCTCAGGGCTGTTTTGGCTGGTATCTTGATGTAAATTGCGCACACTACAGGTTCAGAGCAGTTTACTAGTGCTCGTCTTCAGGCGTCTCCTCGGGTCTGTTAGGCAGTGCCAGCGCACCACACTACTTGTACACTTCAGCGGCCGGTACCTAACCTTATATTCCCTACATGTATGGTAGGTACTAAGGTCATTTTCTCTTTCATCGTTTAAAGACTCTCTCATAGAATAATAAATTTTACTAGATTATTAATAAATTTCCTGACTAAGCCATAGACCTGCTACACATCTGCCCGTTCAATCTGCAAAATGGATGTGCCTTTCCTTCCTTAAAAAAAAAAAAAGAAGGGCCAAAAAAAAATAGGTACCTACGTTACATGGCAAATATTTCTGCCCCAGCCTTCTCCTCCCCCCCACTATTCCTTCCTGCTTCAAATCCTATCATTCCTGTCTCGGATTGGTCTGTTTTCAAGCTTCCAGAAAATTTCCCTAGCAGCCCCTGCCTATTGACTTAAGAGACTAAAAATTTCCCAGATCTCTTGTCAGCCTTGCGACCACTTTTCGCGCCTCAATAATTGGAAATCCGACAACCCCTCCTGCCATAAACTTGGTCTCATCCTGTCCGCCTCCTTGAGCCCCGTGTTCTTACTCGGTATGGCTGATACGACATACTCTAAAGGCACTAAACGGTCGAGCTCGTCGTCGAACGACGCCGCAGACACCGCCAAGATGAAGCGCTTCAAGAAGGAAGACGAGGACGGGGAGAAATACAATCCGTATCTCGCCCACACCTATGACGACGAGAAGGTGGGAAAGAACGGCGATGGCTACGACAGCAAAACGAACGGCCTCTTCCGCGGTCTGAAGCGGCACGAGACAACGTCCAAGCAGGCTGAGGAGGTTGAGGATGCCGACTACAATGCATTCACGGGCGAGGCACATTCGCAACAGTATTTCAAGATCCTCAAGACGAGGCGGGATCTGCCAGTACACAAACAAAGGCAAGAGTTCCTGGATATGTACCACAGCACACAGATCCTGGTCTTTGTTGGTGAAACTGGTTCAGGAAAGACGACCCAGATCCCTCAATACGTCCTCTACGACGAACTGCCGCAACTCAACCGCAAGATGGTCGCCTGTACACAGCCCCGGCGAGTGGCTGCCATGTCAGTGGCCCAGCGTGTCGCCGATGAGCTGGACGTCAAGCTTGGAGAGGAGGTTGGCTACAGTATCCGTTTCGAGAACGTCACCTCGCCTCAGACCGTGCTGAAGTACATGACCGATGGTCAGCTTCTGCGAGAGTCTATGAACGACCACAATCTTTCACGCTACAGCTGCATTATCATCGATGAGGCTCACGAGAGAACACTCGCCACAGACATCCTGATGGCTCTTCTCAAGGATCTCTCCACAAAAAGGCCCGACTTGAAAATCATCATCATGTCTGCCACGCTGGATGCGCAGAAATTCCAGAGATACTTCCACAATGCGCCACTTCTTGCCGTCCCTGGTCGAACACATCCTGTCGAGATCTTCTATACCCCCGAGGCTGAGCGTGATTATATGGAGGCTTCCATCAGAACCGTCCTTCAAATCCACGCGACTGAGGCCGAGGGCGACATTTTACTGTTCCTTACCGGAGAGGAGGAGATCGAGGATGCATGTCGCCGAATCAACCTGGAAGTCGACGAGATGATCCGGGAGTCGGACGCTGGTCCGATGACGGTTTACCCCCTATACGGCACTCTGCCCCCACAGCAGCAGCAGCGCATCTTTGACAAGGCCCCTGACGCATTCAAGAAGGGCGGCCGGCCTGGACGCAAATGCATTGTTTCGACCAACATTGCTGAGACCAGTTTGACCATTGACGGAATTGTCTACGTCGTTGATCCGGGCTTCAGCAAACAGAAGATCTACAACCCCCGCATCCGTGTCGAGTCACTCCTTGTCTCGCCCATCTCGCGTGCCTCGGCCCAGCAGCGTGCTGGTCGTGCCGGCCGTACCCGACCAGGAAAGTGCTTCAGGCTGTACACCGAGCAGGCCTTCAAGAAGGAGCTGATCGAGCAGACTTACCCGGAAATTCTGCGTTCCAACCTGAGCAACACAATCCTCGAGCTGAAGAAGCTTGGTGTGGAAGACTTGGTGCATTTCGATTTCATGGACCCACCTGCCCCTGAGACGATGATGAGAGCCCTCGAAGAGCTGAATTACCTGGCATGTCTCGATGATGATGGTGGCCTCACCACTCTCGGCAGCATGGCTTCGGAGTTCCCTCTTGACCCAACCTTGGCCGTCCTCCTGATCAGCTCTCCCGAGTTTTATTGCTCTAACGAGATTCTCTCGATTGTCTCGTTGCTGTCAGTGCCGCAAATATTTGTCCGGCCGGCGAACAACCGCAAACGTGCCGATGAGATGAAGGCCCTCTTCACCCACCCGGAGGGCGACCACCTGACGCTCTTGAACGCGTATCATGCGTTCCGGGGCAAGATAAACGAGGGCGCCGACATGAAGAAGTGGTGCCATGAACACTTCCTGTCGTACCGTCATCTGGCCAACGCTGACAACGTTCGGGCGCAGCTCAAGCGTATCATGGAGGTGCATAGCGTCGAGCTGATGAGCACGCCGTTTGAGGACAAGAACTACTATACCAACATCCGCCGGGCGCTGCTGTCAGGCTTCTTCATGCAGGTCGCCATGCGCGAGAGCAACGGCCGTATCTACCGCACCATCAAGGACGACCAATCGGTCATGCTGCACCCCAGCACTGTCCTGAAGACCGAGTATGAGTGGGTGCTGTACAACGAATTCGTCCTCACCAACAAACAATACATCAGGACGGTAACTGGAATCCGCCCAGAGTGGCTTCTGGTAAGTTGATCTCTCTCTCTCTCTCAGCATGCATCGGCATTGGGCCAGCTGAAGACTAATAATAACTCAGGAAATTGCGCCCAACTATTATGACCTGGGCACGTTTGAAGAGGGCGAGGCCAAGAGGGCACTGAAGCGGGTTGATGACAAGATCCGGCGGAAGGAGGCAATGAGGCAAGGGGCCCGCCGATGAACAGGTTCGAGAACATGGCGATGATCTGTTATCATCTCCAGAAGGTGTCAAAAATAAGGTGCATACTATGGGATTGTCAGCTGGAGAATGTTATCAACTCGCGGCGTCCCGTCCTGAGGTCATGAGGACGGAGTTGATTGGACGTCCGGGCCGATCCTGCTTCACAAAGTCCTGGTACCAGACTAGGCTATTTCAGAGGCCCTTTGGCAGCTCTCGACACAGAGGGGGGCCTCTCTTGCATCATGTCAGATCAGCAGCACAAGGAGTGCATAATCGGTGCATGGTGTTTGGTCCATATGACTTGGCATGCGCATGCATACATGTATATGTGTATGGCCCCCCCAGGGGGGTCACGAATCAGGAAACGGACTTGCGCTAGAAATACCACAAAATCGACCATTTCGCCCCAACGCCCGAACAGAGGCTGAAAGCTAGCTAGCCACTGGATGGAAGCGGACATGTGCATGTAAAGTGGCCTCGATCGTTACACGAGCGGCGGCACAGCGTTGCGGGATTGCAGGACAACGCATACCAGGGCAAGCGAGCCGCGCAAGCCTGTTGCCTGCTTTTGCAGTTCGTCTGTCTGGGTTCTGGGGCCCGTTATGTCAGCTTATACACATCCATCAGACCAGATATTGCTGTAGGGATGAACCCCTCTTGGTCACCAGAGCGCATGCGTTGCGCCGCTGCTCACTAGCTGCCCGGCTGGTTTGGCCCTTTTTTGTTATAGACCGAATCCTCCTCCATTTGTGGTTTTGCAATGTCGTCAGATGGGAGGATATCATTCGGTCGTCAGAAATCACTTCCGCCCTTTTCCGGTACAGTCTCTCCCAAAATTCCTGATTTGTCTTTCTCGTGTCTGCAGCAACTGCAGCATTGGTGGCGGCATGCGGCGCATCGTTTGTCTTCGTCGTCGTATAGGTTTCCCCAGGAAGCGTATCGCACACAGTGCCCAAATTGAGCTGGCGCACAAACATACTTGCAGGCACGCACGCATCCGCTTTCTGTCAGCACCCAGCTCGTTGTGGCAATGGGGGGAACCAACGGCTGGCTGGGGGGTTTCCAATATTGGATATCTACCATCTTAATGCATGGGTCTTGTGATGTGTGCTGGAGAGAATCGGATGACGAGATCATGATGGAAAAGGCGGCACATCATGACTAAGGACAGGGACAAGGACATCTCCCACATCGCACCGCATCGCATCACATCACCATCTTTTACGGCCCCCAATGGCTACACGACCAGATGGCCATCCCAAAATGGAAGTTTCTTCGCTGAAGAGTTGCCTTCAACAGATCCCAATGGGCGGTGATGGCGACGTTTGCAAGGGCTCACAGCAAGCACAGCGCTTTCACCTGTTGTTGGCCTTTTAGGGACAGTTTCTGACAGCTTGCCAATGCGGAAAAAAAGCAATGGCGAGGTCCAGACCGGCCGGTCAAAGTGGGACGGAAACCGAGCCCTTCGCTTGGGTCTTGACGTTTTGGACAAGCGACCCGGCATGTCGGGTAAGCAGAGTCGATACCTAGACGTCTCTCCCTGAATCAGTGACGACGGGGTCGCCGGGGAGCTGAGAAGCTTGGGATGGGCGGGACCGACAAAGCCAAGGGCCTCTCTCCCCTTGCTAGCCTCGATAACCACCCCCCCTGCGATGTAGCAATGGGACGGGAGGAATCTTGAAGAATCGATCGATGACGGGGAGAAATATCCCTCAGGCCGTGCGCGTGCGCCTTGACAGGCAGTCTGGGTGTTTTGGCGTTGATGTTGCGATGGCGTGCAATCAAAATAAGGTTTTTGATACACCATTGTGTCAGGGAAGAACGCGCCGAGCCCTATTGATCCCATTCGCGACCCGTTCTGGCGGATCGCCACCCCAATCCGAGACCAGGTGGGTGAGGGTGAGACCAGACCGGCCAGGTCAGCCAGCCCTGTCGCTGATTTGGCCCCGATCTTGACAACCAGCAGACACACCCACACACCCTCACCCGCACCGCTGATCAGACACCCTCCCGACTCAGAAGTGAGGGGAGGGTTCTTTTGTCGTCTCTTTTTGCGGCGATCAGCTCTCTCGACCGGGATATCGGCCCTAAAGGAGAAAGGGAAGCGCGAAAGTATGTCACATATCATGGGCAAGAAAGCCAAGGCGCCATCCCATCACACCGTTTTCGGGAGAAAAGGTCCTTGGGGGGGCTGCGAGACGAGGGTCCCCGTCCTTGCCTTTCCCTTGATTCTACATCATGCCAGCCAGGCCTTTCTTCTTCTTCTTTTTTGGCGTGATATGATTGTGCCTTAAAAACAAGGTCGTTTGGGGTGGTACCTAGACAACCCGGAGACCCGATCGGGCAGTTCCGTGCTTCCCGTGTTTTCCGTGCACCGCCGCCACCCGCTCCGGCGAACATTAATTTCCGCGGAAGGGGCTCGGGCCGGATGCTGTACCTCAATGATGTCTCCGAACACAAATGAAGTCGATGAATGAACAAATGGTCTGTCTCAACGCAAATAGCATAGCAGACCTGTTTTCCAGGCTCTCTCATCACGACATGTCCCGGACTCCTTAATCGGTCAGTGTCTTGCCTGCGTGAAAGAGGGTCCCGTCCACTTTCCCTTGCCTAGCTAATGTACAAGTACAAGTAGTTAACGTGCCCCCTAAAAACCCGTTTTCGGGTGACAGCTTACCACTTTACATTACGTGCGTATGGCGGAGACAGAGCTCGCGCGCGCGCGTACGCATGCGGCCTCTAGTGTCCGATACGATGGCTGCATAAACCCTTGTTGAAGCCGAAGGATCCTCTCCACTGCATGGCTCCTCTCTATGCGAGTGATGGGCGGGTGTGCACGCGGAAACCCTTCTGTGGGAAATATGTGGGAATGGGAAACTTGCGTGACAAACAAGGATACCGATCACCTGCCATCCGGTAGCACTCGAGGGATGCCGACAGCCCTGCTTTCGTATCTATTTTTTGCCCCTGTCCGCTGGTCGTTTTTTGCTATTGTTTTTTTTTTTTTGGCCCAGTGCCCTTTTCCTTGTTCGGTAAATATACCCACGGCAGCAGCGGTAACAAGAGAAACGACAAATGAGTTGTCCTTGACGGGGCCCCTTGTTGTTCAGTTCTCAATATTGCCAGGGAGCAAAGCTTTATATCGTGACGTTGACTTTCCCTTCTTGGTCGAGCGGCCCTTCGCACCATCTTCTCTCTTTTGGGGACCGAGAGACCCGGCCCCCAAGGAGCTGTTCGGGGAGCAGGACGTGAGCGCCGACGAAGATGGGCGCAAGCCGCGGGATTTGATTCCATCCTTGATATCGTCACACAAACCCCCGAGGTCTTGGCAAACGAGATAGAACAGGTCCCCTGTGGGCTCGTGGCCTGCAGCCGGATAGGTAGGTCCCTTTCGGATACTCCGCTTCTCGCTTCCATGTTGTTATTCATGCGCTGGTCCGAGAAGATGATGTGTTGGTTGGTCCCATCTGCGTCGCCGTTGGCCGTGCCGTAGCACAAATCCACTCCCCCAAGCGCATCTGGCAGCCCGATCCATGGGAACAGGTCTTGGGAACAGGGTAATACAAAGTACCCTGGACGTGCAATCATGCTGAAGAAGGACCAAGTGCCGGGAACACGTGTGCTGCCAGCCAAGCAACTCGGCGCTTCTTGTCAGTGAAGTAGCCCAGAACGAGGGCCCTCCCCCAACTCCATCAGGAGACTCCAGTCGTGCAGAAGGCAAGGTTTAACTTGACCGGATAATTGTTACCCGCTGTAAAGCTGATCTTTTGTACGAAACTTGGCTTATACATAGTTTACGTCAGTCATCACGATAGCCAGGGCTTTGCTCGGTACTTCGCACGGCATCCAACGCGCGCGCGTGTCGCCCTCTGCGTCGGGGAATTTCCAACGGGCAGGACAAACGGAGTCGGGAGATTCCAGAAAGGGTAGGTGGTCTCATCTAAAGCACGCACGTCCGTGTATGTCTGGCTAGATACCAGGCTGCCTCACACCCTGCTGGCACTTCGTCAACAAGGCGGACGACGACAGGCCTACTATCGTGACGAGCGGTTGTCACATGGGCTCCAGCAGTATTCTGGAAGCAGGCGAAGAACGTGTTCCACCTGTTCCACCGAAAAGGGTGATGAGATCTGCTTCTCCATCCGTCAGGTAGCAATATACCCCCCACCTGCAACCCGATCTCACTCCACCAGTCCAACCAGGGAACCGAGAAATGTCGGTCCCCTCCGCCACCTTGCTTTGGGAAACACGGTCATAGGCGATGAGAAACACAAAAAGCCCTCAGGAGGCAGTTGGAAAGACGGGTGAGAGCAAAAGCTGCAGCAGTGGGGGGTAAGCAAGGGATGCCTCTGGCTCCCTAGGGGTTCTTACCAAGAACCATGTGGTCATGCAACTACCGCAGCCGCATATCACCTACATACATATTGCCATTTGATGAGATCACCACACCAGCCATGTTGGTCGCTTGGACTTGCATGATGCAGATGTTTCTGTCCTTCAGTGGCTCCCCGCCGGCCCCCCCCCCCCCCCCCCCCCCCCCCCCCCCCCCCCCCCCCCCTCCCCCTCCCCC